AGCCATCAATCGTCACCCTGCACGCCATGAGCGCGGTGTTGCTCCGGAGTCGACCGGACCAAACGGCGCTGAGGAGAATTGGGCTTTTGTCGAGTCGTCTATATTCCTCAAAACCCTCAGGATCAACTAGGCTTCCTACATCTCGAGCTCTTCCCTTTGGTCAAAATTCGGTACCGCAATGCCTAGCGTCGCGTGCGTTCTTCAACAGTCACCACTCGATCCGACACCAATCAACAGTGCCGGAATCAACTGAATCTCCACAAAAGTCCTCTTTCCGGAATGCCTTCCTCAAGACTTTTGCCTATTGTGGATTCTTTATTGTCATGAGCGGTGCTGCAGTGGTAGCATTCTTTATCTACGATGCGACCACGTACCGTGAACAATCAAGTGCTGAAGATATTCCGGTCTCGGAATTGGCTCTGAATCCCCGACATGGTGGCCCTAAGAACTTGCCTGTTGCAGATGTGCTTGTTGGAGATTATGACTCGGAGGCCATGACGGAACAGAAGGACAAGCCGAGACTGGTGATCCTAGGCACAGGCTGGGGCAGTATCGCTCTTCTCAAACAACTGAATCCCGGTGACTACCATGTGACGGTCGTTTCGCCTACCAACTATTTCCTATTCACTCCTATGTTGCCCTCGGCAACTGTCGGCACCCTTGGGTTAAGGTCGCTCGTTGAACCAGTTCGACGGATCGTTCAGCGAGTCAATGGTCACTTCTTGAAAGGCGAGGCGGTAGACGTTGAATTCTCTGAGAAGCTAGTTGAGGTGTCCCAGGTCGATGCCAATGGGCACAGGCAAAACTTTTATGTTCCGTATGACAAACTTGTAATTGGTGTTGGTATGTCTGGAGTTCCGGTGGCCCTTTCCCACCAAACAACTTTGTTCACTAACATCTCTGTAATTCAGGCTGTACAACGAATCCACATGGTGTCAAAGGGCTTGAGAATTGCCACTTCCTAAAAACTATCGACGACGCTCGCCAGATCAAGAATCAGGTGTTGGATAACATGGAATTGGCCTGTCTACCGACGACCAGTGACGAGGAACGCAAACGTCTACTTTCTTTCGTTGTTTGTGGCGGTGGTCCAACTGGTGTTGAATTTGCAGCCGAGCTGTTTGATTTGCTCAATGAGGACCTGCTCTACTCCTTCCCCAAGATCTTGAGAAATGAGATCTCTGTCCACATCATCCAAAGTCGTACTCACATCCTGAACACTTACGATGAAGCTCTTTCTAAGTATGCTGAGGTGAGTCGATTATGTCCCCATACGCATGGCCATGTCAAACCTTATTAACTAATGCAGGCTCGTTTTGCTCGTGATCATGTTGATGTCTTGACCAACTCCCGAGTGAAAGAAGTTCGCGATGATAAAGTTGTGTTTACTCAAATGGAGAATGGCAAGCCTGTACTGAAGGAAATCCCTATGGGCTTCTGCTTGTGGTCAACGGGTGTCGGTAAGTGTATCCAACCCCTTGTTGTATGCTTCATTTAAAAGCTCATCGTTTCCCTAGCCCCGGCCGAAATTTGCCGGAAGCTCTCGGCCAAGCTTGATGCACAGAACAACAAGCACGCTTTGGAAACCGACTCACACCTCCGTCTCATCGGGGCCCCACTGGGTGATGTGTATGCTATTGGAGACTGCTCCACAGTTCAGAACAATGTGGCCGACCACATCGTATCCTTCTTGCGTACAATCGCCTGGGAGAAAGGCAAGGACCCAGAGAAGCTGCATCTCACGTTCCGCGAATGGAAAGATGTCGCCACCCGGGTGAAGAAGCGTTTCCCTCAGGCATCCAACCATCTTCGCCGGCTAGATAGGCTCTTTGAACAGTACGATAAGGATCATTCTGGCACTCTCGAATTCGGCGAACTCTCTGAACTTCTTCACCAAATTGACAATAAACTCACATCCCTGCCTGCCACTGCCCAGCGTGCCAACCAGCAAGGCGAGTATCTGGGTCGCAAACTTACCAAGATTGCCGCCGCGCTTCCCGGCATGAGGGCCAACGAAATCGATCACGGGGACCTCGATGAAGCCGTCTACAAGGCGTTCAAGTACAAGCACCTTGGTAGTCTAGCCTACATCAGCAACGCTGCCGTCTTCGATTTTGGAGGAATGAACTTCAGCGGTGGTGTTCTCGCCATGTATTTGTGGCGTAGTGTGTACTTTGCCGAGAGTGTCAGCCTGCGTACCCGTTGTATGCTTGCTATGGACTGGGCGAAGAGAGCCTTGTTTGGAAGAGGTTAGTTTCCATGTCCATTTCCATTTCCTGAATGTTTGACCTATGATACATTCCGATACTAATGAGCTTATTTGTCCCAGACCTCATGAGTTTCTGATTTTTTAGCTACAGTAAACCGCCCTAGCGGCGGTATCTGCTATAAACTATCCGGTGGCTTTTCTTCTTTTTTGTTTTCTAAAATACGCTTTGGATATACCTGTTTCGTGATCTGTTTGCATTTCCAATAGATACCATTTTGTGATGGTTACTGGTATTGGCTGGATCCTCTTTGTATGCTTTGTTTGTTCTGTACTTCGAGGATATTATATTGTTGTATTTATCTCTTCAGGAATATCTGTGGACCTATTCTAGCATAAACGTTCTTCTCGTATTGTGATATAAGTGTACTCCGTGGAGCTCATCTTATCCCAGTTCAGAAAGATATATAGCCTCGGTATCTGTTTCTCACGCCGTCCCGCACACCACGGTAGGAGATATATATATCCCTCCTCAGAAGTACAACGTTTCGACGAGATAATATGTGAGGGAAGAAGGAAAAACAAAAAGAAAATAAAAAGAAAAATGAGGACAAGGGCAATTGTTCGCCCCGTGATAGTTTAACCTCCTTCGACGATTATATCGTCACCATGATCCAATGCTATTGAGTGCTTGCCTCTGGCTTGGAAACTTATAATGCCATAATGATGTGCATTGCATGTAAAGAGTACACCGAGCTAATCGGTCTTTGGCTAACATCAACTAACAAATTGTATCATCATTGCCGCACATTGTGGCTTTGTGGAATGAGTCGGGTTCAACGCCGCACATTCCTTCCATACTACATGACTAGGTTGTTGGATGCAAGAGGAAAGATCGAACTGATACTGCAAAGTATGTGAGACTGAGGTCTAATTATAAAGTCTTGGTATTAAGGTGAGGTTGCTACAAAAGTATAGAGGTAATTGTCTTGGCCAATGTGTATCTGCGCCAAGTACCTTGCCATCGCTGACAACGCCGGAGGTAACAGTCATAAGAATGGGTCGTGATATCGCACTACAGGATTAGCCGAGCCCGCTGGCCAAATCTATTAGGAGATCATTGGATCAACGTCTCCGTTATTGGCCATCAGGGTATCGTTAGTGGCGCCGTTATGACCCTTGGTGTTATTATCGTTGAGGCCCAAGTCTAGTTTCTCTGGGATATCCTTCTTAGCCTCACGGGCCTTTTGTTCCGCCCAGGCACGCAACTTGACAAGGTTGCGCAATCGGGCTTCTTTACGAGCGCCCTGATTATGCAGGATGGCTTCGTTCACGCTAGTGGCTATATCTTTACGCAAGTCAGGATGTAGAAGAGGAGCTAGAGCAGGTGTAAGGTTCTCAGTGGGGAAGATGAGGAGCGCCAGCGTCCTCTCAAGATCTTCCAAGAACTGAGGGTTTGTGGGTGCCCGGGGTGCGAGTTGCGATGTCGCGAACTCAAGGGCAGGAGTGATATCCCCATCAGGTTCAGATGTGCACGAGCGAATCAACTCCACAAGTTGCAAGCGTAGCAGTGCAAAATGCAGGGGAGGATTTTCATCCAAAATCTATACCAGTCGAGTCAGCACATATTCTCGAAATGTGAGTGGTGACAATGACAATAACAATAATGTTTTGCTGCTCATACTGAGGACTGAAGATGTTTGTTTTTCGTCAAACCTCAAAAGAGGTTTTACGAGTGGTGCATGAAACTTGGTCTAATCATAGCAAAGGGCGATGGGGGTAGAGACAGTGGAGCGAGAAATTTCTTACCTGTGGGTTGAGCTCATTGATCTTTTCGATGGCAGCTTTGATATCCCCCGAGTGAATGGCAGTGCGAATTTCTACTCTTTCTTGAATAGCCTCTACATCTGCCCTGGGTTGGATGTTGGCCTCTAAAGCGAACTTCTTCGCAGCAGCTGGATATCCATTGGTGATGAGGTAGTCCATAACAAGATAGTTAATGTCACTACAGACGAGATGTTAGTCAAATCTGTGATCGAGTCGATAGACCAAAGGCATGTAGCAAAGGCGACCATTTCAGAAAGACAAGTTAAATATGTTCTCCTCAAGTGATTTCAGAGAGATTCCCAACTTGATTCAAGGTGCATCATTTGGACCGACGGTGCCGGAAAGGGCGGGAAAAAAGAATGGGAGACTCACGTCTTGGACGGCTTGACCTCATCGACCTTCCGCTCAAACTGGTGCCATGTTGGCGTTGTTGTCGAGGAAGTGGGAGACATCTGCTTCCGTTAAAACCAAGCGACCACGCACGCACAACACGTCGGGAGGCATACGTAATTAGCAGAAGCCATGGTTTTAGAAGTACTGGGATATGGCAACACTCAATTGCTGTAGTGTTGCTGGATTGGCCGCCTGTGAAGATGGGGAGCTTCGCAGACGGGAGCCATGAGTATGTTGGGAAGAAAGAGGAGTGAAGAAAGAAGAGGAGAAAAAAAGAGGAGGGAAGCGGCGGGTTTTAGGTCACGTTGATAGCTAGCTAAGAGACTAGTGTTAGCCGCAAGCGAAGGTCACGGACCACCCTAAGCTTAATGTGGTTAAGACCCAACCGACTAGGACGTTTAGCCTTTTAGGGTATTGCTGCGAGTGACCGACAACTGATTATTCCTCTTATCAGTCCCCAAGCGCCAAAACGACGCTGGGTGCTTGCTTCGTACTCTCAGTATTTTATGTGTATGATCTGAAAGTATTACACTACTCCGTGTCGGCAACCTAAATCTTCGGTGAGGTCCTAATCATGGAGTCGATCTCACCCGTATTCTCGTCGGGCACGGAGCAGCGGTACTCTCCACCATGGGAGGACTTGAGTATCATCGGTATCGCTGGTAGCTCGGGCTCCGGCAAGACTTCTGTGGCAATGGAAATCGTGAAGTCACTCAACCTGCCGTGGGTTGTGATTCTCGTAATGGTAACAATACACTTCTTCTGTTCAACATTAGAGTTTAATACAATATCAAGTGAGCTTGTGTCTCTAACGCTACTTGTATAGGACTCATTCTACAAGAGCTTGACACCAGAGCAACACGCCAAAGCGCACAATAACGAATTTGACTTCGACTGCCCAGATGCCTACGATTTTGATGCCCTTGTGCAGACCTTGAAGGATCTAAAGCAAGGGTACAGTAGCCCACTTGTCATAAACTGTCACATCAAGCTAGGGAAATGCGGCCCAAGGCTAACGAACATGCCATAAAAGAAAGAAGGCAGATATCCCCGTTTACTCATTTGCCGACCATCAGCGCCAACCACAAACAACTACGCTTTACTCCCCCCATGTGATAATTCTGGAGGGTATCCTTGCTTTACATGACCCGAGGGTGCTGGATCTTTTGGATGTCAAGGTATGCCTTTGTACTTTGTCAACGGCGTTTCTGAATGCTCACTTTTATCCTATTAGATATTTGTTGAGGCGGATATGGATATCTGCTTGGGACGCAGAAGTGGGTAATTTTCATGACATTCAAAACGGTACTTCTCTAACGCAAGAGGAGTTAGTCATGCGAGACGTTAAAGAGCGAGGAAGAGATATTGAAGGCATCATCAAGCAGTGGTTTACTTTTGTTAAGCCGTCATATACGAGGTTCGTTGAACCACAACGGTCTATATCGGGTAAGTCGAATACACCCACCCCTCGAGAAATTCTTTCTGACCTCAACCTTCAGACCTTATCATCCCCCGTGGCATTCAGAATATCACAGCTATTGGTAGGCAACTTCTATGGGTTTCCCAACGTCGATACTAATCTTTTAGACATGGTTGTGAAACACATTCAACGGAAACTTGATGAGAAGTCCGAGAAACACAGAGCCGAGCTAGACCAACTACGCAAAATTGCATCGGAACTGCAGCTCTCGCCTAACGTCATGGTAATGCCTTCGACATCTCAGTTTGTTGGCATGAACACGATCCTTCAAGACCCAAAAACGGAGCAAGTCGACTTCGTCTTCTACTTTGATCGGCTCGCTTCCTTGCTCATAGAGAAGTGAGTCAATTGCGCACGCGACACAGAACGCGCCCCCACAAAATCACCCTTAAACTTTGTGTTCCCTTGATTCCTTCCATTATGGCATGACAGAATCGATACGGATGACTGACGCATAGCAGGGCCTTGGACTGTACCTCGTATGTTCCAGCTGGAGTAGAAACACCACAGAAGACTACCTACCAGGGCTTGAATCCGGAAGGTATAATATCTGCTGTTGCAATTTTGCGAGGAGGCTCTTGCCTCGAGACCGCCCTGAAGCGCACTATTCCCGACTGCATTACTGGTCGCGTGCTCATTCAGACCAATGCGCAGAATGAAGTACCAGAGTTACACTATTTGAAATTACCGGAAAACATACAGAAGCATACCACAGTTATGCTACTTGACCCCCAGATGTCCACCGGAGGAGCTGCCTTGATGGCTGTTCGGGTGTTGGTTGACCATGGCGTGGAGGAGCATAAGATTGTCTTTGTGACATGTGCCGCAGGAAAGATTGGGTTAAAGCGTCTCTCAACAGTATACCCGAAGGTTAGAGTCATCGTAGGACGGATTGAAGAGGAGCAAGAGCCCAGATGGATGGAAAGGAGATATTTTGGCTGTTGAGGTGATTTGGATGTAGATACGGTTGGGCACATGTTTGGCTGTATCTATAATCAAACTGTGCAAGCTGGGAACCATCGCTCTAGAGAGTCATGGCAGAATATATATAACGTCAAATGAATGAATACCACTATAACTATATCCTTCTGCCACCATAACTGAGCTTCGGGCGAACGTGATTGTTTTGAGTTCAGATCTGCCATACTACAGCCAGTACTAGTACTATGTGCGAGTGCACGGACCACATCCAAGACCGCCGAAGAATCTTTGGTTCCGCCGCCGCAAAAGAAAATTATCCTTATCACTTTTTATCAACACAAGAAAAAGTCAAGGCTACAACCAAACAGCCTTTCACTGTGTTTTTAATTCCCCTGTTAAATATCTCATTTGTTCTTTTCTTATAACGTCCCATCACAATGCCAGACCAAAAGAAAAGCAAAAAGAGCGGCGGCGCCAAAAGGCAAGCCGACTCTGTCATCAGTATGCGCCCTCGTCTCTTCTACGCTAAAACGACCATAACTAACAATTCTGCCTGGGTATAATAGCCGATCCTCGTTTCGCCAATATTCAAACAGATCCTCGTTACCGTCTACCTAGCAAACGGCAGACACATGTGAAACTCGACAAGCGTTTCGCGCACATGCTGCACGACAAAGACTTTTCTCGGAATGCTGCAGTCGACCGATACGGACGGAAGCTCGCCCGCGATGATACGAAGAAGCAGCTGGAGAGATTCTACCGACTTGAGGGGGACGAGGAAGACGAGGAAGACGAGGAACACATGAGTGTGGCTGACGACGATGAGGTCCTCAAAGAACTTAAGAAGGCGGATAAGGCTAGTGGCACTTACGATCCCGCGCGTGATGGAGGCTTTTCGTCTTCGTCCTCGGAAGAGGAGAGCTCCGACGAAGAGGAGGATGAGGATGATGAATTTGGCGCGGGCGAGGAGCTTGAGTTTCCGGATAAACAACAGAGCGGCGTCCCCACAGGTGATGTAACAGAACGGATTGCGGTGGTGAATCTGGACTGGGATAATATACGGGCAGAGGATTTGATGGCCGTATTCTCTAGTTTTGTTCCTGCTGGTGGACGGGTACTGAAGGTTTCTGTCTATCCGAGTGAATTTGGAAAAGAGCGCATGGAAAGAGAGGAGACGGAGGGCCCTCCTAGAGAGATATTTGCTGCGAAAGACGATGATGAGTTTGAAGGTTTCGAAGACGACGACTCAGATGTTGACTCAGATGAGGAAGAGGAGGAGATTAAAAAGTCAATGCTGAAGGAAGACAAGGGCGAGGAGTTCAACTCTACGGAACTACGAAAGTATCAATTGGAGCGACTACGCTACTACTATGCTATCTTGACTTTCTCGAGCAAGGATGTGGCGAAGCACGTCTACGATTTGGTCGATGGTGCTGAGTATCTGTCGAGCGCAAACTTCTTTGACCTTCGTTTCGTCCCCGACGACACCGACTTTTCCGATGATAAGCCTCGTGACGAATGCAAACGGATTCCAGATGGTTATCAGCCTAATGAATTCGTGACCGATGCGCTGCAGCATAGCAAAGTTAAGTTGACCTGGGACATGGAAGATAAATCACGAAAGGAAGCTCAAGCACGGGCGTTCCGAGGTAGCCGAAAAGAAATTGATGAAAATGACTTGAAGGCTTACCTCGCCAGCGATAGCTCCTCTGAGGACGAGGACGAGGACGGCGGAGTGGAAGTTGTGGATACTACAAATGATGGCGGCGGAAGTTCTAAGAAAATCTCTAAGAAAGAAGATGAGAGACAGCGTATGCGCGCTCTCTTAGGGCTGGGTACGGAGCCAGCACCTTCCTCTAAGTCCGACGGCCCTGTTGGCGAAATGGAAGTCACGTTTACCTCGGGTCTGGCCGGCGGCTCCAACAAAGACAGCATTTTTGAGAATGAGCCCGAGAAAGACGAGACTACGATTGAGAAGTACATTCGCAAGGAGCGTGAGAGGAAGAAGCGGAGAAAGGAGAAGTTGAAGGCGTCCAAGAAGGGCGACACTGAGGCCGATGAACAGGATGATGCACCTGAACCAGAAGAGAAGCCCCAGGAGGAAGATCTGGGCTTCAACGATCCATTCTTTGACGACCCCTCTGGTAAGGAATCCGCTGCAGCTCGCCGCAAAGAGGAGAAACGGAAGAAGCGGGAGGAGCGTGCTGCAGAGGAAGCTGCAGCCGCCGCTAAGCGAGCCGAGCTCGAGCTGTTGATGATGGATGATGAAAACAAGAATATCAAGCACTTCGACATGAATGAGATCGAAAAGGCAGAGAAACAAGCCCGCAAAAAGGGCAAGGGCAAAGGAAAAGGCAAGCAGGCGGCACAAGTGGTGGACGACTTCCAAATGGATGTCAGCGACCCGCGTTTCGCTCGTTTGTTCGAGAGCCACGAGTTTGCTATTGATCCTACCAATCCTCGCTTCAAGGCGACATCTGGTATGAAGCAATTGCTGGAAGAAGGACGTAAGCGACGTAGGAACCGGGACGACCGTGCGGACGAGGAAGAGGTCAGCCGCAACGATCAGAAGAAGACGAAGAAGCAGAAGAAGAGCGAATCCACTGAAGGTGGATCAGAGGATCTGAAAAAGTTGGTGGACAAAGTGAAGCGGAAGACACAGAAGAGTTGATTGGTTGTATGATTAAGGCGAAGATCACCAAATTTTAGGGCAAACAGTCAACTGGATTCGGATAGAATAAGCATAAATTAATTTCCTTCTTTTTACTTTCTCCCCTCTGTCTTGTAGAGAATGTGGAATCGATATTCGATTCGACATGTTTCGTTTGGTCGAGGGGTTTTGTTCATAGTATGAGACGCAGAGATGAACGGAGGAGATAGTCTCACCTCAGCCCCTCCTCTCTGCGCTGTATGTGATGGCTGCAAGTCTTTCCCCTCTCTCCCCAGATTAGGAAAATGGCAGGGAAGCGGGACGCATTTATGCAGGATGAGGTGTAGTGTAACCGGTTGGGCCAACGAATGCCCCATGCCCGTGATCGGCGATGAGGCTGATGATCATGTGTGCCCTCACCGCCCTTTCATCCTCGATTGATCCTCACTTTAGCTTCTCTTTCTCTCCCTTTCCCCATTCTTTTCTTTCCCTCTTGCTCTTCTCCCTCGTGGGTGTTTTCTTGTGTCTGGTGGAGCCTATCACGTCCCCCTCCCCTCCAATTCCCTGCCTCTGATCCCACGCTATTCTGCGAATACCCCTCAATTGCTGTTTTTTTTTCCCCTTGCCTTTCCTTATCATTAGCCAAATCAAACAAATTCCCCCTCCCCTCCCCTCCTTCCATTGTAAAGCGATTTCACTGCCCTCTTCTTTCATTCTTTCTTTCAACCCAACCACTCAGGTAACACCAGTCTTCTGTTCAACCATTGCATGTTTGTCGATCCGCTCATTCGATCATGATTGCTTTCTGGTGTGATTGAATCATGGGGAACTGCAGTTCCAAGATAGTTTAACTGTCTGGCTGTTGGTTGCCTGTTTTCTACTTTCATCATTGTAAACAACATTGTGCTTTGCGGGGACGGCCCCTCTTCTCTTTGACTGACTTCTGTGTTTCTTTCCCTGCATACGGATCCTTGCCTGTCATCATGCTGGGCCGGTTACTAAGTACTGCAGCTTCCACATTGAACCCGGCGGCTTATTCTGCAAAAAATCCCCATCAACTCGAGTCCGTCACCGAAGAAGAACATACCTCTGGCCTTCTATTTCCTGATGCAAGCCTTCTCCGTCGCTCGAATACACACGCGTATCCCCTTCATACGGCTTTCAATTCCCCGAATGCTTCTACCGCCGGTGCCTATGACGATCGGGGAGGGGTTGACTTGGATCCTACTAAGGACTTTCGTGTAATCATCGCTCAGAATGCGCTTGGAGATAGGGATGCCTGCGTGCTACTGGATACTCGTGCTAGTTCGGAGCCTGCCACCTATGGCCTTGGACTGGAACCTCAGGCATTTGAAAGCCCGGGCGTACGGCATGCTCGAACGGTCTCGAATCTGACCCGGGGACCTCGACGAGGTTACTTGTCTCAGTCGTCGACAGTGGAACCAAGTCCGCTTTCCTTTGCTACAGAAGCCCGCAGATCGCCACCACTGTCGTCTGGTGCTTTTATGCGCGCCCGTGGTCGCAGCTCCACGTTATCACCCGCTGGAGGCCCTCACGATCCTGGCTATTCGCGTCATTCGACGGATTCGAACGACGCTGGTCTATTGAACTGTATATTTGGCAGCAGTGCATTCAGCTATCGAGGATCCTCTACCAAGATGCACATTATTACTGCCGATGACGAGCCCGGTAGGACTGCGAGCGCCTCTCCCGCCTCCCGCAATTCTTTTACTCGATCCTACACTACCGGGAGTTCATCGGCCTTCGTGAATTCGAACCGGGGGAATGACGGAAAACCACCGTCAAAAGTGACCATTCTTGTAACGCGGATGTTTAGCGTCAATCTGCCGGAGGCGGGTGAAACCTCTCCAGACAGACAAGACACTGCTGCTTCCTTGTATCAAGAATCACTTCCAGAATCTGGCTTCCCGTTCCCCGACCTCACTAAGCGCAAAAAAATCAAAGAGAAGAAAACCCCAATGTACGCCGTGGCGATCACTATCCAAATCCCTCTTCTGGGTCGCAATGCCGGTCGTCCCGTTTCTCGGTTTAGCACCCAAGGCTCTGACTCGCCCAAGCCAGGGATGGCGTGCTCGCTGGATTCGGACTACCGCTGGCGCAATGGGTTCTTAGACGACAGTTTGTCACTTGCTTCCCCTCCAGCAAGCCTGGACGAGAGAATCGATTTGCTAGTGGATCACTGGGATGTCGTTAACCGCACCTTGTCGCATCTGGAGAGACTCTCTCGGAAAGAGATCCTATTCCTCCTGAAAAAGGTGGATTCATCGTCTGGAATACACCCGAAGCCAGCTAAACCTCCGAATATGCAACGCACAAATCAAACTATAATTCACTTGCCCGCGAACATCTTGGCGGTAAATTCAAAGCTTCGGGAAGAGGCTATTCGCAGTACCCGCCGTATCAGCACGGCTCTTCAAACCCCATATGTCGTAACAGGACAAAGTCGGTGGGGTGTATGGCGCGAGGAAGGCCGTTCGATTGTTCGCAATCTTGGGGACAAAGACCATAGTTTCTTCTTCCTGGTGCTCATTACCGCGTTCTTGGGGAATCACACGGAGTGGCTCAACGCATTAGGCCCAGAATGGTGGCGACGCCGGCACTACATCCAACAGAAGGCCCAACAACAGGACTCTGATCCGATCCTAGCGAACCGTACTGTAATTGTTTCCCCCGACAAGATGACTGCTCGTCGGCTTATATTTTTGCTTTCTGCGTTTCTTCCCCCCAAGCAGCGCTTTGAACCTCTTCCGTCACCCATTCGACCTGGCACATCTTCCTCAATGCGTGCTGTCTCACAAAGTCCGCCCAATGTCCCCGTCCTACGACAGGAGTCTCTGCGCAGAGCCATCGAAAGACGGTCTCGTGCGCAACGTTTGAATCTCGCTGATAGAGATCAACACCAGCGGTCTGTGAGCGTGTCATCAAGTGAAACCGCACACCGCTCAACAGATGATACCGAGACCGCTGTGCCAATGGAATTCGCAGCAACCAGGAGAGGGTCCGATGCACGTTCCATTAGAACATTAGGGGTCCCTATACACGCGAAGGATGCGCGCAGCAAGAACACCAGCACCGCAACAACATCCACCGCCACCCCTGGTAGCACTGTCCCTGTCCCGCATTTTGCTTCACAGAGTCGGTTAGAACGGGATAGGTCGGACCACTCCATGCATGAAGGGGCTGATAGTCTGGCATCTGAGAACCTGCTGAAGAATTTGAAAAGAAGTGAAAGTTCGGTGTTGAGTACCAACAGCAGTGTGCCTTCAACTACTGGCCGATGGGGTAGCCTGTTCTCGGGATTATGGAGCTCACGCCAGGAGTCATCCACCGGAAGCAGCGAAGCCGTTTCGCCAGCTGAGATCCGTAGGCGCTCTGTCTCTGGATATACACCGCTGCCGAAACGAGGTCCTCCTACCTTAAGTCAAATGGTAAAAGAGGTCTCGACTGAAATACCTGAAGAAGTGCCTACAGTAGCCACAAGTGGCAATATTTCCATTCCTCACTCCAATACTCAACATCTCGAGGAAGATGTGCAGGATCTTTCATTAACGGTGGGCCATAACAGAGAGTCTTCCTTGAAATTATCCGTACGGGGCGATGACGGAATTGTCGACGTTGACCTTCCGTTGCCTGGTTTTGTCTCGCTGTCTTCATCAGGTGACTCTACCATGACTTCGCCGAAGAAGACACGGACCTCAGTAACTAGTGTGGATGCTGTAGCATCTACGCACAGCAGTGGCTCAGGCTTTCCTTATGCGCCTAGAGAAAACGACGGGCCTAATATCAATGTTGCTGGTTGGCTGAGAAGCTTTCATGAAGACTTTCTGCTCCAAGCAGTGCGGCCTTATTCAAACTTGGAAGCCGATGTGAAACGCGCAATGCAAGCTGAACCTACCCCAAGTCATGCATTTTCTTCTGAAGCGGATGGGTCAGAGAGATGGGTCGATGTGGCTACGACGCTAATCGCTGACGCAAGAACGTTCACGGTTAAGCGACTGCGCCTCAGACGGAAAGCTATCAACAATGACTTTTGGCGAAGCCCTACTCCACCTCCCATTTCTCAGCCTGGTACCCCTCGTCACATCCCTGGAGGTTCTAATTCGTCTTCCAGCAAAACATCTACTATCTCTCCCATAGAAGGTTACGAGTCCAACGAATTCGAAGAGCGTTTTGTCGAAGAACCGGTCATGGATCTGGACGGCACACTGGTTGATGCACTTGAACGCGTTCTTGCTCAAAGCGGCCCATCGTCTTTGGCTCACTCTCGGGCACCGTCTCCATCGCGGGCTCGCAGGGGCGATGATAAGGGCACATCAGACGCAGCGAATCGGGATGAGGCCCAGGTTCCTTCTCTGGAGGTCCCTCGCACTGAATGTCGCAAGCTCGTCCTTGGGGCACTTGAAGAAGTTGTTCGCAGTGTAACCACTGAGCATTGTCGGGATGATGTTGATGGGGAGCTTACTATGGCAGACAGGGAACGCAAGCGTTCATTAGCTGGACCCGACAATACGTTAAGAGAAGGGGTGCGTAGGTGGCTTCTTGACGTTGAAGAGGCTTGGTGATTCTTTTTTCTTCTCTTCATCTGATTTTCCTTCTAACCTAGTATTTTTTTCCCCTTTACTTTTTTTTAAATATTCTTCACATCCCTAGGTCCGTTATAAGATGGATGCTAGTGTTTTGCTTTGGGCAATTTCTTCATTCACAGACTTTTCTCTCCTTTACTTCAAATACGGGTGGAGCTTCCTGGTTCATCAACATCAGAGCCGGAGTTAGTCTGTGGCCAACTTTATCATTGCTTTCTGAACATCATGATACCCATGTGTTGTGTTTGTTTTTCTTGCCAGTCTTGTATCTACAACTCGTGATTCACCATTGACATGAGTGAAGCTGTGACAGTCTTCTAGCTAGCTTTTATGATTATTCTGCGTGAGCTTTCAACTTGATGCATACTAAAGTCAGCAAGAGATTGCTGCTTGTACAACTTTTCCCAGACCACCTTGGATGCGATCCGTTCTACATGTCCCATCCTCACTGTGCCACATCCAGAGGAATATATTGAAAACATGTTTCGATCTGTCTAAATTCATTCAACACAACAGCTACCAGAACACAGACCTTAAGGATCTGCCAAATCGGATTCAGCCAGTTGATATAACTCTCTACCTATATCACCCATAACTCGGTATCTATCGCCAATGATGCCCTCATGAGCTGGAGGGTCAGTCACTCCAAACCAGGCGATGATAATATCTGTGATGGTCTATCCATCCGCGTTAACCCGTGTCTCTCAGACAATATTGTGCTCAGTATCCAGGTACATTAGACATATATATCCATTTGTCTCAAAGACATCTTGACCTGCGAGAAGAATATATCCTGCCAATAAATAGTCCAGCTGCCTTGAGCTCAATAAAACGATATGGATGGACGGAGGAAGATTAATTCACCGTAATAGGCACCTGACCATACCAATTACACTTAGTGTTATAAACACGCTGTCTATTTAATGTGCATTATTCTTTGAGTTCCTATTAGAGGTCCAACTTCTGTCAGGATTGCTGGTAGAAAGAATGCTATTGTATCATCAGCCGAGGCATAGAACCCAAGACTATGGATGACTTTCTATGGCGAGCGCCTCACCCCATTTATTATGTATTGGCTATGGTTTCTGGTTACGTTCAATTCGGTAGTTGGGTAGTTGTACATTCTATTCTATATCCTTTTTTTTTTTTTTTTTTTTTTTTTTTTTTTTTTTTTTTTTTTTTTTTTACATGTATATAACGATTAGTGGAAATCATGGATAAGGGGATCTTTTGCGTGCACCTTGTTATGTTACACACAAGGCCGCTTGGTGATAGTAGTGGCTTACCTATCCATGATACTATAGACTTCACCTCTTTTGAACATTGGACTACATATTGTCGAGGAACTGGCATATCATACTAGTCAAAATAAGCACATACTACTGTTCATGTCAATAATATATCTAAAGATCTATAGTATAGAGACTAATGTCTAACCCGAACCAGCTTCACTCCGGCATCATCGGCAACAACCTCATCGCCTTTCAGGGCAACCTTCACGGTCTTCAACACCTCATGAGTCTTGCGTGGATCGACGACCTGGACCGCCACTTCGTCCGACAGCGATCCATTAACCAGCACCTCGAGACCATCCAGCGCATCGTCCTGCGGCGCCTTCAGTGTCGGGTTAATCGGAGTGGCCGAGCCCGGCCTAATGAGGATCGGAAGAGTATCGAATCCATGCGTTTCTGTGTACCACTGTCCCGGCTCGTAGGTCTTGCTGTGATCGAACCATGAGATCCACTTTCCTTGAGAATCCTGGGGAGTCCGAGGCACATAGAAGGTGACGGTACCCTCGTCCGTGAAAACGGGAGCAATGAGCAGGTTACTGCCGAACATGTACTGTGTATCGAGAGGGTAGGTATTGAGATCATCCGGGAACTCGAGAAACATGGGTCTCATGAGCGGGGTACCCTGGTCATGGCCTGTGAGGGCTTCGGCGAGGAGGTAAGGGGTGAGGAGGATCTTGCGTTTGACGCAGTCACGGAGGACGTCCGAGCAATCTTCACCGTAAATCCAGGGAACTCGGAAGGAGGAGGATCCGTGGAGGCGGGAGTGTGAGGAGAGGAGTCCGAATTGGACCCAGCGTTTGTAGAGGGATGGTGGCGGGGTGCCCTCAAAGCCACCAATGTCTGAGGCCCAGAAGATGTAGCCTGAGAGCATGAGACTGAGACCACCACGGAGGGACTCGGCCATGGCTTCGTATGTGCTTTCGCAGTCGCCACCCCAGTGGACGGGGTAGATTTGGCCGCCAGGGCTGGTGCTGCGAGCGAAGAGGAGGCTGTTGGATTTCCCATAACGGTCAGTCATGGTCTCGTAGACGACTTTGTTAAAGAGGAGGGTGTAGTAGTTGTGCATGCGGGTTGGGTCGGATCCGTCGTGATACTGGACATTTCTGTAGGGGATACGTTCGGCGAAGTCGGTTTTGAACGAGTCGACGCCCATGTCCATGAGACGTTTGAGGTGGTTTGAGAACCATGCGCAGGCGGCAGGGTTTGTGAAATCTACAACGGCCATACCCGCTTGCCAGTAGTCCCATTGCCAGACCGAGCCGTCGGTACGCTGTGTGTTTGTCAGTATGCGTTCCCAACATCTCTCCGTTTTGAGTGAGCGTTGTGGGGTCGTACCCTGATGAAGTAACCATTCTTTTTGCCCTCCTCAAACAGTGGCGATGCCTGTCCAACGTATGGGTTGATCCATACACTGATCCGGAGATCGCGCTCCTTGAGTCGCTGGAGGTAGCCTCCGGCATCAGGGAACATATCGGAGTCGAACTCAAAATCGCACCATTGATAGGACTTCATCCAGAAACAATCGAAGTGGAAAACGCCCAATGGGATATCCCGGTCCCTGAAGCCATCGAGAAAGCCGGTGACGGTTTGCTCGTCGTAGTTTGTGGTGAAGCCTGTTAAAATGAAGATGTTCAGCGTTTAGAGGCCAATTTTGATAGAAGGGAGTATACGCACTGGTAGTAAGCCACAAATTGTAACTCCAGGAGGGAACTAAACTAGGACGTCCGGTCAAAGCCGTATACCGTCTGATGATCTCCTTGGGGGTGTTTCCATAAACCACAAAGTACTCCAACTCTTCACCGGCAATCGAGATATTGACTCGGGTAGTTCGCTCTGACTGCAGCTCCAGGCTGACTTTGCCAGGGTTGTTCACAAAGACGCCGTACCCCTTGGAGCTAATGTAGAATGGGATGTTCTTGTATGTCAATTCAGACGATGTACCTCCATCTTCGTTCCAAATGTCGACACTTTGTCCGTTCTTGACGAATGGACCGAACCTCTCTCCAAGGCCATATAGTTTCTCGCCAACCCCGAGATCTAATGCGGCAAGCATGTGTCCTTGACGCTCAAAGAAGATCCCATCGTCCCAACGAGACTTCTCTGTAGTTTGATCGCCAACGTAACCGATGGATCTCCAGGAGTGACCAGTGAGCTTCCCTTTAGCGCCAGAGAACACGAAATCCAATTCGTTGGGTGCTGTATTGATGGCCAAGTTCAAGGGGCCACTGCCATAGTTCAGCTTCACGTTCTTCTCGTGGTCAATCTTGGTCTGGCCAGTTGACGAACTCAACTGATAGTGAGGGCCGTTATCGACCTGTCCTGCCCTGGATGCCATATATCAGTAACTGAGCGAGGAGTGGAAGAGCCAATGCTGTTTTTTGCTAAAACAATCCGCACTTGAATGAGCATACCAATGAACAAGTTTGACGCCGATAATGCCTTCCAAAGGAGACGTTACGCTTGCAGTGACGGTTGCTAATTCCGACACTTTGTTAGTTTTTGTTCAACCCAAATCAACCTGGAAAGAAACCAACCTGAATTAAGCGTGTCACCACGATGCCGCTGGAATTTATTTAACAATAAATTGACTTGCCCATTATTAACGTGCAGTCTCTCGACATTGTTCATCCAATCAATTCGAATGCCTTCCTGCGAGATCGTTAAACCACATTGATCAGTAGGCAAGTGCAAGTATACTTACGCGCAGGCGCCACATCCCCTCGGTGAACTTCATTTTTGCGGTTCTGAGGGGGGATTAGGCCCGAATAATTGTCGGCTGAATCTAGAAAGCCCACTGATCAAAGGTAAATGCGCAATTGACGAGTCGCGCTGCGCAAAGAGAGAGAATCAGCTCTATGTACCAAACCCAGTGGTGGTATCTCGCACTAGCGCATTTGCTTGTAGGACTTCCAAGCCCCTCATCCGAGAGAAAGGGAGCATCTAGCTTTAATAAGAACACGCCCGCTCAGGCGATTGACACTCCCCAGTCGTCTGATGGTGACATATTGAGGCGGGGTAGCTCTGGCCATTGCCTAAATCGAAACGGACCTTTGTCTTGTAGGGGTTTTGGGGTTTGGGGTTGATGGTGCTTCAGACTGATTGCGCCAATCATACTGGGACATAATGGACCGCTAAACTAGCTGCGAAAAAGGCTGGAGGGTGGTAATTAACCTCCGCGTGAACGGGTAAATGAATTGAACCGAGCAGACGAAGTAGTCTTGATTCATCCTCTCTTGGCGGCGTGGGGGGAAAGCCGGCTCCTTTGCTTATTTATTGTAAAAGGAAGGTCACACGTGCTAGCCCCGAGCCTGGGGCAATCAAGCCGATGTACCTATCGATATAGTGTAATAAGACAACTAGTGCATAGAACAATCGTATATATTATGTCTAGGCGCTAAATACGTCTGCACATATTCGTAGCTATTATTATGTATTCAAGTCTTCCCAAATCCGCAAGTAGTACTTTTCATCAATCTTCATAACTGTATTTCCATGACCGAAATTACTTGTCATGGGTCGGGGTATATGACTAACGTTTTATGTTAGAGAAAGTGGTCTCAAGCTGCCGCTTCTTGGACTGCCTTTAGACACATTACTATCGTCTCGCGACAGATTCCTCATCTCAGCCAATGGCGCGGCGATGCTTTGTGAGGACCTTGATGCTAGACCAGGTGGAGGCGATATGTGATGGCTGACGACACTGGCAGGTAGTTCAAGAGAAGGTATGGACGCATCCGTGAGTGTGGTGGGCGCCGGGCCGACTTTGGTTGAAGTCGCGCGTACTTGTGCCTCACTGTAGAATTGCTCGAGTCTGGCCGGATCATTGCAGAAGTCTGCAAACCCGGTAAGGATATGTTCGGGGGCTCGGTACAGATTTGCAGAATCAATGCTCGCGTGTCCCTGAGGGCTCAGAGGGCTATGGACCTCGTGCACTGGCCGAGCCATGGGCGAAAGACGCGGAGAGATACGGTCCACAGGATCGTAGGTCCCTGCGCGTGCTCGATATTGATCAGGTCGGTCTAACCGCTCATGTCTCGGCATGTCACGACTGGCAACACTGCGTGTGCTGACAAGTCGGTTGGCAAGAAGTAGGAAATCTCCTTCGCCAGTGATCTGAGCTAGAAGACTGCCAGATCGATGAATATACTGAGGGTATTGGTAGTCAGGCATGCCCCAGGAATATGACACTTCGACGTCTGCGGGATAAGAGGACCTGGCCTCAAAGTCAAGGACAAAGTCGAACTTCCGTAAGAGGGCCTTATGGAAGTACTGATGGTCCAATGTAACCGGCTGGGAGAATGACTCCGAGTTGCACTGGAGTGGAATGGGGCCCTTAGGGGGAGGAACTTTGAGTTGGATGCGGTATGGCTTCCGGAATGGCTGGGTTTTGTCAATAGCGCAGGCTTCGGCAATGGGAACTTGGACGAGCTTCAATCCAAATTTCTCGGCCGTTGAAGCCCATGACAGTACCGTATCCTCAATGAGTTTGGGAGTGGTATTCATCCAGCTGAGCTCTATATGGAAGCAATTCTCGGGATTATGCAGCCGATCATAATGAAGATCAATGACCTCAGGGCGATTTGAGCGTTTGCGAGGGTCGACGTCGTATTTCATAGCCTTAGACAATGTGATAGAAGCCTTGTTCTTAAATTTTGACGGCGTACTAGGAGTCTGCGGCTGCATATCCTCCACGCTATCGGTGCGAGTATGACCACTTATAGGTGAGCCTTTCGCGGCCTCACCCGCCGGAGTTGAAGGAACTGACTTATCCGGCCGTATTTGGGGGAACCAGCTACCACGAGATTCAGGTCGCGAGACACGATACTCGCTAGAGATCTGGTAGAAATAATTGCCATCCCGAAAGTTGTGTCGCTTTTCTACATGCTGGAAGAGACCGTGTTTCATCAACTCGTTACCAAATTCGACTGCCTCTTCCCGGCTGTCAATGTCGCGGAAGTTTTGGAGCAGCCAAGTCGTAAATTCGAAACCAATGAAACAGTTGTAGTGCAGCCGCCAGTGCCACCTTCGATCCATCATCCTCACTCCCTTTTCACCCTGGATTATCTGCGCCAAGGATGATAGACTGATACTAGAGCGCTCGAGTAGTTCTGACTCTGGAAGTAGCTGTGCAGGGGATGAGTCTAGCCCGGGATCCACAAGTATGATACGGTCTAATTCAGCCGCGATGACCTCGGATGGGTTCCGTGTCTGGTACATGATGTTGAGGGGGTTCTGCTCCCTCTTCTTGTTGGAGCTTTCGAACCGCTTTTCCTCTGGAGGGATATACTTGTGGCGCTGCCATATATGTGTGAGCTGGTTGATGCCAAGCAGATGAATTTCTTCTTCATTATCTTCATTGAATCCGTGAAGGCGCCGAGAGTTGAAGTGCAAACGCATCGGGATCAGGACGTAACGCACACGCCAGAAGTGGAGTTGTTGGGCTGCATTGAACAAGTAGTCTCGGTGGCCCGCCACATAATTATCAGCGTAGTTCCAGTTGTATTCCTCATACGTCGAGTCTAATTTTATATCCTTCACCACATATTCAGGACTTAAAATTGTTCTCATCGCCGGAGAATACAGAGTGAATTTTCGCTTCTGATCTGATGCTAAAAGCGAGGAAGTTCGATGCGTGTACCGCGTGACTTCAATCTCCGCACCCTCAACACAAATAAGTCGATGGATCGAGTTGCCTTTGGACAAGAAGACAGTAGCCCCGGCCCTTTCCAAACTATGAGTGTCGAATACGTTCGGTGACTGGAGGGAATATTGCCCGGAAGCTTCAACTACATTTTTCCCAACAACGATCTGGAACCCATGGGAAAGCCGTAGTGAAATCATTTCCCGGAGAAGCAAGCCTCTTGTTTTAGGCGCCTCAATACCTTCTGAGTCTTCGTTGGGGAAGACACGGTATGGAGTCTGCAAATAGTCCGATGCAAGTTCACTTGGAGTGGGGAACTCTTCTGTTGTTAGCGGGAGAATAGCCGGGGACTTCAAGCTCTTCCATTTGACCACCGCAACATGAGGAGGTCTTGGATAAGCATGCTGCCAGCGCCCAAACCAGCTAGTGTCTCGCAACACTTCTCTTGGGGTGTTGCAGGGGTTAATTGAGCGAACCCAAGGGGCCAACGCCTTACTCTGTGGACTTTTTGAGGATCCATTACGCGATCCAGTACTCAAGGTTACCTCGAATTTAGGCCCATGCCGTCTTGGTTGAGCTGTAAGGCGAGTGTCCTCGCCTAGAGGGATCTCGGTAGTTGTAGTCGAGACCGACTCCGGTATGGCTGGACGTCCTTGCTGCTCTGTGTCTTGGAGTGGCTGTTTGGGAGGCACTTTGATCGATATCGGTCTTGATGGCGTAATAGCCGTGCTCTTGATTGGCTTTTGGAGTGTTTCTGGGGACGGGGCCAGGTCGATTACGGTCGATGCACTATCTGATGCACTCAAAGAATCCACGCTTCTATTGTCTGCAAGAACACCCGACAATTTCCTTGAATTTGATGTTGGCAAGCCTCTGGCGTGCTCAACATTTACTTCTGTGCTAGCCTGAGCTCTAGGAGGGGTAGAACTGAGGCCACGAAGAGCGAAGCTGATTGTGCGCGATATACGCGGCAACTTTGCTTTGGAGGAGCTTTTTAGGGCTGGTTTCTTGGGAGAAGCGCTTTTCGTAGACACAGGGCTTTTAGGGGCTGGAAGTGGGATGTCGAGTTGTCGCGATGCTGAACGAGTACTCTCGTTTTCCCTAAGACGCAATATAGATCTAGCAGAAATCCTTTCATGTGCATTAGATGCGTTCACTTCTGGCTCACTAGGCCTTTTAAGCTTGGACGGCTTCCGGCGATGTCGCCTTTTTCTAAAAGGCTGGAACACATTTTCGTCATAATTGTCCATCCAGGATAGCACCGTTTTTGGCGTTTTCTTTGATATAGCAAGCATTGCATCCTTTGAGCTTGCTATATTGTGAAGGAACGGCTCCGGCCGGAGACTGTCGCTCAATTGATGTCGGAAAGGAGAATTGCGCCTGAAAGTAGCCTTAGGGGGAACAAGACTACCTGGACTAGAACCAAGGACAGAACTGGCAGCTCTAGAGATACTCTGCCCCTCTGAGAGGTAGGGAATTGATATATTTGATTGTTCACTCTCCATCACGCCCATCATTTGAATTTCAAACATCCGCACCCGCGGAACAAAAACTTTGGACTGCTTAGTGACAGTGAATGGAATAGGCGCATTGGGGTCTTTTTTCAGGATACGCCGAGACTCTCTGTAGGTTTCAGGGTTCCAATATGATATATCAAGCCAGTGGGGAATCCCATAACTCCATTCATTTGACCGACCAGACCAATTTGATTTCGAGCTCATCCCTGTGAATGAATCCAGGAGAGCTGACTTCGGGGAAAGGTGCGGCGTCTTACTTGATAAGCTCGCAAACGAATGGCGCATTTCAGGAGAGTTACCCCCATGCTGGATATCACCGAATGTGGCAGTAGTAGGCCTCTGAGCTGGCTCCCGATACTTGAACAGAGGCACGGAGTGAAGAGGCATAGGGCTAAGACAGACAAGATCAATGGCGATTCCGCGGTTCGTGAGTGCTTCAGTAGTGGAGGCTAATGATTCGTATGATACTTCAAAAACACCGCTTCCAGGCGTAATGACTATGATTGAAGTGCCTGTATGAACCATATCACGGTCAATATGGTCGAATGCTAGATGTGAAGATGCAAGATGGATAGCTTCGAGTATGTTTCCACGGAGGGCGGTGCTTGGCCGCCCTGCAATGGTTGCCGGCTGGGATTTAGGTGCGTCAGTTGCGTTGACTGTTGGAGTATCTGCATTCTGTACATTGAGTATTGATACGTCCCTTAGGAAGGTCCTGAAATCCTTCTTTAGTTCATCCAAGATAGTAGTCCAATGGCCACTCGCCATGTCATTGACCACTACCCGATAGAAGTCTCTTGTGGGAACGTGGTTCGGGCCGAACATGCTCGTCAGATTCTCCGAACTGAAAGTGGAAGAGGCAATGGCCGATGCATCGTACTCAACCCGCGTGAATAATACGATGGTCACCAGATGCCTTGCATCTGAATTGACCCACCGTTTAAACAACTCAGGGAGAAACCCATTGATAACTCTGCTAAATAGAATGTCGCCAGTGCCTTCCGAATCGAAATTCCACATTTCCCTTGACATCTGGATGAACAGGACGTACTTCGCCGATTCGCTGCGAAACACTGGTATGGTTTGGGGCGAGAAAAACCCTGAGAGGACCTTTTTGCCACGAATAAAGATGTTTTTTACAGTTGCCTTGATACTACCAGTGAATACGATTTTCTGTCCTTTGTAAACAATCCTCTCTGCAAGCTCCGACATGACCAACCTCCACATGTCAGACCTGACCATATACTGGTCACGGAAGGAAATATCAACATGAGAGGCAGCGCATTGAGCACGGTCTACAATCGAGATATGGACGGTTGTCCGGTTCTTGAACCCGAATATGTTGGCGATACTGGTGGTGACCGAAAGCTCTAGCTTGGGAATTCGTGTCTTTATCTCTTGTGGCATAGGTTTAACCACGAAGAGGCATCGACTTTGCAGCGGGGTCTTAAACTTGGACATTGAGTCTGAATGAAGCGTGGAGCTCGATTCAACGTGGCTATCGCGCAAAGATCTCGATCCGAGATCTGCTTTAGCTGAATGTGTGCCATCTCCGGGACACCGAGCAGGTAATATCTCGATCACATCGCCAACTTCCACGCCCATATCGATGAAGGCGGCCTGATTGAACAGGATTTCCTCCTTGGAGAAAGTCTCATCATGAACCCAGAGCGAGCATTGGCGACGATCCAAGCCAGTAGAAGATAACCGGATTGTCCTTTCATCGGGAGTCGACGGTTTATCACTCTGGCCATCGGTCTGAGATAGTGCAAGGGAACGAGTGGTAGAGAGAGTCTCTAGACTGGCAGCACTCACCTGTCTCAGGTGCGAGTGCTTCATGGGTCCCCGTAGAGACATTTTCCCTCTCACCGTCGCATATTAAATGGGTCGCCCTGCAATGTCCCTGATAGGTAATCAAGAGTGGCTCGGAGGTTATCAAGTTAAGAGCTCCCTATCCACCAAATCCCCACACTTTCTTGAAGAAGAAGGCGGTAAAGATCAAAATATCACGTGCTGTATTTGTGCCTGAGGCATTATATTCACTACCGCCTGGTATTCTCAACTTACTACTAGTACCTACTTCCGGAGTACTGATTGATGTACTTACTATGTACCAGGCCTGTAACATACGCAAGGGACTCCTGAGTGTATCCATGGAAGAGCACGCCAGAGAAGTGGAACCTTGATAAAATACGGAGTCCTACTCAGAACTTAATTAACACCTCCTTACTCGATCTATGAGTTCCCCTTGTTGTCATATGCATGCCCGTAGTGCCATTAAAGAGCTAAACCCTAACTTTGTTGCTGGCCTCAGAGGCTCAGACTCTCAGTGACAATTTATGGGGATGTAACCTAGTAGTACGTATGACATACACCCATACATGTGTGGGGTGTTCTAGTGCAGGAAGGACTAAGGATCAACAAACCGACCTCGTAAAACCATACCCGAATATGATGATACGCCTACTGCAGAACTGTTGGGGCCTAACTACAACCACCTACCCTTTAGGTAGCGAACCATGGGCCCGGGCCGACTGTATCACTCCGCAAGCAGTAGCCCAAAAGATAGATAGATCAATCGGCATGACAGGCGTAAAATCTCAGCCTCGGGGTTTGAACAGACTATCGGGATTTGGGTCCTAAAACTACAATCATTCAATACAGCAGGCGCTAGTGGAAGCCATGCTGCGTAACCTGTACCGAACCCACCCATATCTCATTAGATCGAGAGGCCTTTCGACATTTTGGTCAGGTGCCGCCAATATCGTTAAGATAGCCCCTTATACGGAATAATCTCGCACTGACTACAAATTTGACGTGGATCATTTATCCGTATACAATCCTAGTTGGGGAGAAATTCTTCGGGATTGTCAGAACATCGTGGGACTGAAATTTCTAGCTAGTTAACCAACTGACTGGGTCCCCACTGTGAACCCATGGAACCCTCAGCGAACTTCTATGTAGTACGGAATTACGCCTAGGTGTATTTACTTCATCGACGGTAACTAGTGCAGACCCGTCACATACCAACCATAGTTCATTGGGAGACTTGAGACGGTCGGGCACAGCCGCCTGCGTATTCGACCCGACGGTATGGATGTAGTACTAAGCTAGCTCTCGAATAAGACTACAGGATTCTTGGAATGAGAGGTTCTAGCATACATTCCATTTTTATAAACTGTGTGGTTTAAATATGGCAGCTACCATGTTGGACATGCCCCCCAGATGGGTCGTGTGATTGTATTTGCAAAGGAGTCTCGGACTCCGACGATCTGACACCGAACGACTGGTATTTGCTTGGAGGGTGGAGCATACGGTATGACCCGTCACCCAATGTCAAGTCAGGGGATGTCAGATCAGTACTTACCGAGTAGGAGAAAGAACACTGAGAGTACCGGCCAGAAGGAACCTTCCGCTCCCACGGGCCGGATCGCCAGCGAATGACAGTCTGTCTTTATGGAAAGATGTGCCCCACTCTATACAGGTACTCTGTATGAGAGGAGTGGCCTTGACTACTAGGGAGCCCATAGGTGCTTTTCACACTAAAGTACCCTGTCCACCTGAATATACTAGTGGAGCGCATCTGCTTTGAATTATCAGCTGATGTGGAGCTCTGCATATTTAACTCACTCAAGAGGCACGATCCTTGTCAAGTGGCTCAATTGTCGGTGACTTACTTCCTTACTTAGTAAGGCCAAGCGAAACACTTACTGAAAGATTTTCCCGAGTCGCAAGAGCGGCGGATACTAGAAAGTTCTTACTTCACCTAACTCTTGTACAGGTAGATCCCTATTGTGCTTACTCTTAGGACCAATACCCGATAGGTTGGGGAAGTGAAAGGAAAAGAGAAAAGGGAAAAGAAAAGGCAAGGAAAAGAAAGGTAGAGAGAAAGAGAGGGAAAAGGGAACCAAAGAATAAACTTATTCAGTAACTCAGTGTATCTAATGATATATTGCTTGATCAGTTCTGGTTAAGTCAAGGTGGGGGGCAGTCAGCTCCAATCACCGGGGTGAAAGTTACTTGGGCAAGGTGGCATAAATGATCAGAATTGAAGAATTGAGATGGAAAGATTTGATAAGGTATGTGATATCTGGTCGAAAGACCACCGAGATGGGTAGTCCATGAACGAGTCCACATCTGCCAAACCATAAAGCCAGTCCGAATACACTAGGTGTAACCATAGTGGGCCGTAGCAAGCTATCGAAGACTTAAGACCTTTCGGATTTCAAGTCTGGAACGGCATATGTTAGGTCGATAAGGCAAATGTAATGGTTTCGCTTGAAATGCCCCCTCGTTGGGTAGTCGTGTTCGGTACTAAAGGGAGCAATTCAACAATTGACTGGCGGTGTACACTAATGTGGGCACGTGTACTGGCACAATAGCGACCCGAACCAGGCGCACGCCAATTTTCTAAATGTAGAAAATCTCGGGACCTTCATAACAGTCAGTTTTTGTCATTGTCCGCGTAAACTCCAGTGTCAGGTTCCAAAGAATTCTGAGAAAGTAGGTCTCTACACACGAGTTGAGCCCGCTGAAAAGATAAATCTTTCGTCGACATCACAGCTAACCAGCGCGACACCTTGGTAACTTTTTCCCAGGCCGTCCTTTGTTGGACAGTTCCTGCCTTTGCAAGGAGTAATAGCTCAGTCAGGAGCACGGCGGTCGATTGCATGAGAAAGTGCAGGACACACCACCAAGGTGAGACATGGTAGACCCATGAAGGTTCTGGCGAATCGGGTAAGAGGTCAAGCATTTGACCCGCCAGGTCAACACACATAACCGCCATTGTATTGCAGAAATTTCCTGGTATTTCGACGCCCGGAGCCCTCCATGTGAGACGACTAAGACATGGCTGAGTAATCAAGATCTTGGCACTATAGAAACGGAAGGCGAGACATGACCGCTGCCTCTCAAACGCTTGGTGACCATGGGTAAAGTGGAAGGCTGTCGGAAGCCGGGAGAGCCACCCGTCTACTTTGCCGTTCAAGGTGGAGATGGCCATCTCTACTTCACGCCAGGATTTTCGAGCAGCTCCTGGAGCATATAATGTGTCAATAGACTCTCGCATGATCAATCCTAGGTCGACGAGACAGAGAAAATATAGCGAGGTATTCGGCGTGAGCGAGTCCACGGCATTGTAGGCAGCTTGCCCATATTGTTTACCCTGGTACGACATTGGGGTCCCGAAGCCTTCTGAAGTTGTAACTTCGTTGGTGGATTTTGTCGAGTTCATTGAGGATAGCGCCTCCATAAAGTTGTTACGGCTCTCATTATCCGTGATAATTTGAGCGACGTTATCATCTAGAAATTCTTCCTCCTGGAATGGCACTGGGTAGGGTGTAGTACAGAAGTCGCTGCTGCAGTGAGGTGGACGGCCAGTCATCACAGAGAGTTGGATATCGAGCATGTAAATGGACCACCATACACGATAGCGAGTTTCTTTAGACGTGTGGACAACCATACTGCTCTCATTGCGTAAATTCAATCCCATGATAACAGCGGATCGTATCGAGGTGCCACATATTCTCCATGACCTGCGTAATAAACGGAGAAATTAGATTTAAGCTGTGAGCTACGACTACACCAGACGTACCTATTGACTTGTCCCACTGATAAGAGATAGAACGATGTTAGACCCTCCACTTGCACCTGTTGTAGATTTGGATGATCCAATAACGCCACGTCACTCATACTGAGTTTCCAGGCCCGTGAAAAGTATAAAGGTCCATCATCTGGCGTATCTTGGGCGTCAGACTGCATCTGGTGACAGTACCTCGCAGCAATACCAAAAATTAGATTTAGTATCGCTAGCCATCTTTTTCCTGGTCGTACGAACGGAGTTGAGTAGAAAGACTTGTACTGCCTCAAGAATATCGCCTTGCCGATAATCGGGAAGAAAGGGTGGATGATGGAGAAGTAATTATCCACGAGCTGGTCAGCAAGCATTTGTGAAGGCCGCTGCATGGTATCGACATTATCTATGACAGGGATTTCCGAATCATCGAGGAAAAAGCTCACAGACGCAACTGACTGGCGGTCCCAACTCTCCTTGGAACTGGGAGTGACAGGACTGGAGCGCTCGAGCATTCGCCTCAACCTATAAAGCCATGTTATCTCAGAATGTTCTCCGACAAATCCCATTGCTTGTATCTTCTCATCACGGTTGAAGTCTTCGTTAATGTAATCTAACGCCACCAAAGAGGAAATCGGATCAGGGTCCGGATCAGCTGGAGTATCAGCTCCTCTAATAGTGGGTGTAGAGATTGACGCCTTGCGACCAAATGCCTGGTCATTGCCGGCGCGTTGCTGCGGATCGTTGGTCAAAGAGCAAACGCAGGGGGTACAGAGGGAAAAAGAAGAACCTACCTCATTGACAACCTGCTCGATATGTTGGGCAGTTTGCGAATCCACCTTCGAGCAAACATCTTCCAATAGTGCTTCATAAATTTGCTTCTGGTTTGTCAGATCACTCAGTTGCCTATTACCCACTGTCAGAAATTCAAAACCAATCCTCGCGAGTCGTCACACAACGCACTTGGCCATCTTCTCTCGTTTCCGGTCGCCGTACGAGCAACGAGTGCCGGCTTCTTGGCATCGCTGACAAGTCGGGCGATGCCCGCTACATTTGGCTTTCTGTTCTCGACAATTCTCGCATGCCCGGCTGACCCGTCCGCTGCTGGTCCAGTTGCTCGGGTTTGCTGACCTGGGGATTGCTACCTTGGAATTTAAAGCGCGCTCACCAGAAAACATAGACGAAGCACCTGCGGGGTTTTCCGCAAAGCCAGCTACCATGTCGTAGTTGACGGAAGGTGCATAGGACGGCTGCGAATACTGGGGCACCGCCCAGTCGTTGAAAGTAGCCTCATTTCCTGGATACTCAGATGAGGACGAAGAAGTGTAAGGCGGATAATGAAAGGGAGGAGGACGGTTGGGGTCGGACATTGTCACAGGAAATCTTGCCAACCCCCCTTTGTCCCGGCCCTCTGATAGTGCGAACAACCTGGATGTTAACGCACTAAGCCCGAGCAAGTGTTGAACATTGAGAGTGGCTTAAGAAGTGGCTTACAAACACGGGAAGCAGCGATGTTTCCTGTCAGCCACGGTAACATACGAACAAAACATACCTATGAAACTGGCGGTGGTAAAGTGAGGGACCCAAGTCAGTGCCAGGATGGCTTGTGGTAGGCTGGAGCTCACTGCCGTGTTCACTGGCGCGGAAGTCGGCTCGCTTCCGAGTTTGAAACCAAGGTATCATAACCAAGGTATCAATACTCGTGGACATACCTTCCGAGTACCAACCCTGTATTAAACAACACTGAAGTTCAAGACAAAGGGCACGGCTGTACCTAATAATCGAAAATTGTAAAGAGGGAAATTTTTGGGCACCACCATGGTATTGTTGTGTTTTTTTTTTCTGTTTTGCGTTTTTGCCCCCTTGAATTGTTCTCTTTGTTATGTGTAATTTTTTTTACCCCCTCTTTTCTGGGCATCGGCGACCCTGTTGTGGTTGGGTTTCTTCATGCCTTTTTTTTTTTTCTGGTTCTTTCTTGAGCTGGTTCTCCTTGGACCAAAGACATGAAATTTCACAGCAGAGCCTCGGATTATATAAGGCAGCGAGGCCATGGGAGGCCCTCACTATACCCTATGATTTCTGCCCGAGGCCATAATTGCATGTTAACTTCAATGACTGTATGGTCGCAGAAGTTCCAAATGTTCCTGATGACCTCAGAAAAGAGAGAAGCATATGCCTCGATAACATAGCTGGCTCAATGACTCAGTAGCATCGGACTCCGAGTTCATGTCATGGGCCGAGATGGTCTTTAGACTAGTGCGTGAGCACTATCACCTATCACCCTATCGAGTCACTCGCAATGACCTGTCCACACCGTTCTCAGGGTGCAAGAAGCATCAATGTTACCCTCAACTGCAGGGCTGTGCAACGGCACGAGAATACTAGAAGCTTCTAGAATCATAGTGTGGCGTTTAGAGTGAGAACGCTCTAAAGCGACACATTTGTCGCTAGAGAGCTGCAACATATCATTGCTGTCAATTGGAGCTTCGACACCCACTAAACCTCACGATTAACTAGCGCGCAGGAGTTAGTCCATGGAATGTTTGTTTGCTTGAGCGCTGTTAAATCAGAGTCCATCGGCCCAATATCAGCTTTGTATACACTTGCTGCTCGATCTTTAGTCATCCACATGGGTTGAGAGAAGCGAACAAATATTGTTTCATTGCTTAGAATTTGTGCCCTCCAACAATGACTTTCTCCACACATCGAGCAGACACCAGCACCGACGAGAACGAAGTAGTTGAAGGACGGACGATGCACACCATAACAATGTTGCCGCATATGTGCATCGCTCTCGCCACATCGGTTTTCTTTAGATCTAGTGGTGGAGAAAAGTATTCACTCACGCACGAGGGTCATGGTACATAACGAGCGCATGGCTATAGCTTAGCAAATATGGATATAGAACGACGTTGGGCTCAATAGCCGAATCCTCGAGTGATTTGACCATGACATGTAGGAAAGCTCCGGCGGTGGAACTTCCTGTGGCTAGGCCTTGTAGGTCAATGTCCGATTTCCGTGGTTTCTTCTGAAAGAATGAATAGTTTTCAAGGCAGATCTTCAGGATGGCTCTTTTAGTCTGTGTCCATCAAGATGATAACCCAGAGATCTGATTAAGCGTAAGGTCAACAACTGTCTATCAGAGGTCATCACAGTCCAAGGGAGGTTCATTGCCAGAGAAGTGACTTCCTGAGAGATATCAACAACAACTTGAACTCGACATATTCTCTTTCATCGACTGTGGTCACAGGTGCATTTATTTGAGGAGTTGCAGGAAACACCAACCACTGGAAAGTTTCCCATGTCATTCTACTATGCCGTGGAACTACATACAACCGTTGATGCCTAGGGATGCCTAGGGATGCCCAAAGACGCCTTGAGGCGGCAAGACAGAGAGCCTTGAAGAACCATGCCTTGTTGATGTGCGCGATGAGGAAAAGGCCATCGTCAGTCGACGGCATCATCAACAGGTTAGACTTAGGACTGAAGCTAGTGAAAATTGACATTAGCAACGGGGATCAATGGAATAACTGCTTATTGCTTACCTCCGTGTACTCGTTCTCTCGCGTCCTGTTCGGGCGATGTCAGTCTCTCAGTCAAACGCTTCGTGTAACATTTACGGGTTCATTCCCGGATCCGTCCTCGGGGCGTCCCTGGATGTCATGATGTTTCGTTTGCTTACTCATGCCAGGAACATCGTGGCAGATCTTAGAAAATCTCAAGACGAAAACATATTGCATGTTGAAGGAAGTGATTAGGCCTCGACGCTGAGATTTTTGAGAAACAACTCAACTACATTAATGAAAAAAAGGGGAGGTGGAGAGAAGCAAGAGAGAGGGAGGGTGGAGAAGGAAGGGTATGGCAGAAGAAAAGCGGTGCAAGCAAATCACACCGGCAAGCTTTCTTCATACCTCAGGGGGATTGAAAAGATTATAAACCCAAATTAGGTTGTAATTCGGCCGAATGTTTGAACAAATGGGTCCGACATGTTCACCAGCTGCCCCATCGATTGTGCGTTGGGAAAGTGCTTTGATTGGCAAGGAATTATGTTCCGAAGGGCATTGGATCAATTTAATCTTGGATCCTGACATTGATTTCAAAAAGCGGAGCATAGTTTTTCCTCAGGTGACCCCCTCTTCTACAAATTACCGACTAATCTACTACTAGTAGGAGTACCTACGGTCGCTGTCGTTCTGACTGCCTTCAGGTACACTTGACCCCGACACCGTATGATAGTCTCGGAGGCAAGCTGTCTGCAAATCAAGTGCCCGCCTTGCTCATGTTTGCAGGTTGCTGGACGCAGGAGGCTATTAGAAAAGCAATGCCTCCCTCAACCTTGCAGAGCGGCCAGTGAGCGTGGGAAACTCGTTCCTCGCCTCTCTAAAAAAAAATACCCTGATTTCGGATGATGCGAGAAACAGGGGACTACAATTTGTACATACATCAGACTGACATTTGCATGGACTAACCTTCCTTCGCCATGTTCACGACCAGATCTCCTCCCTGTCCTACTTGCCAGCCCCTGGCCACCAACGCTTCTAGCAACAGGTATCCAAGAAATGCCCGGCTTCTGAAGTATCTACCCATTTTGCTACGAAAGAGTCTCGCCAGTCGGTCGTCCACCAGAAGCTCCCTAAACAACGGATGGTAGGGGTGTTTGTTGTCAGTCGCTGACAGCTCACGGAATAATCTATAACTTCTATCCGTCGTCCTGATCGCAATCAACAAAGTCCTCAATTTTGATTGTTGAATTGGACCTGCATGGCGTGTAATATGCGGATCAATCGTAATAAATCAAGACGCTATCGAAGGGAGATAGGACTAGGCAAAATGGTGAACATTCAGTCGGACTGGCAGTTTGAACATAACATAACACACCAACTGTCTCGTTAGTCCGTTTTGCTCGCCGGGCTGAAGATCAGCGGATTAAATATCCGAGACGAGTCTCTTGTGGGGTACCACTAGCATTCATGCCTACATACCGGATGAACCCTTTCCCGATCCTCGTCTGCAATATTGGCTGATTCTTAATTCATTAGCCTCAAGATACGCTTTTGATTGTTGTGCATATTGAAGAAAAACATGACGGTCAAGCACGAGAAATCTCTATCGTGACCAATGGGGCATAGCCGAACAACATTATTGGAAGGATTCAGTGCGCAGCAGGTTCCACCTCTTGAGGGAAGCACGGCCCGTCCAGGATCTCCATAGTCCATACGCTTGTCTCCAGTTTTTTTTTCGGCGTAAAACGGTCCACAACCTCCTCGAATGCAACCTGTAGATTGGTCACCTGTGAGAGTGAACTACAAATGGTCAAAGACAGATCCATACGGTGGTCATTTTCTTGTCCCGCTTACGCCAAAGATCCTCAGACAGTACTCTCCTTCATAAGCAATCTTGCCAACTGTTTCAATGACTTTGCTGTCGTAGAGTTCCTTTAGTAACCGAATGTCGGGGTGGCAGACGTAGAATCGATAACATCATGGATCGCATGGATGCTAAGCTTTGAACCAATTGCAATGGTCCGTTGGGCTGGCATATATGTACGCACAAGTGAGTTAAGGTAGGCCATCTCAGTGGAATCCTTCCCTATGTGAGGATTGTTCAATAAGCAAACCGCCTAAGATCCAGATGGGCGATCTCACATCTATCTGCTGTCCGACGAGAGTATGCCTTGCACAACTAAATAAAGCGACAACAGAAATGTTCAATCGGAAGGAGAGTTTCATTTTCTGGATTTCTCATGACAGTGATAGGCACTCCAAGAAAGCTGAACGGGTACTAGGGGGGAACATTCCCAAAATAGCACGCTACAAAACCTCTTAAGGCTCGCGGAAAAGGCGATGAGCGGAAGCGCACAGTACGAGGATTGGTTTAGCAAAGCGGGGAGCAGTTTCAGCTGGTCAACGTAAAGCTGCCGAAGCTGTTGTCCCAGTACTACTAGCGTTTGCATTTGACCGTCACCGGTGAGCTCGCCATTATTGCTTTATTGATCATTTGCTTTTGTACAATTGGTAGGTGATGCCCTCACCCACTGTAACGTCTCTTGATTCTTCACGACACTCTTCTCTAATGTGACACTGGAGAAGTGCCTAGCTATGGTGCACAGCGACCAATCTGATCGGGAAATCAGACTATGTCATGTACTACTGACATCTCTTCATCCTCGCATAGGCACATACATACGGGAAGACCCATCTCTTTTCAAATGAATTCATGAATGGACATGATGTTCAAAATAATGATATATACTAGTAGTGAGTACAGACCTTTGCAAGGACAGGTGCGGTAAGTGTTCGTGCTCCTCAATATCTGTCAAAATTTATCCAAGCTACCCATAGTTTCCATGTTGACTAGCGGGCTGAACCTCGCGCTATATCAAGTAAAATACAACAATGCATTTATCATTCATCAGATAGGCAAGTGTTGGCGCTATTCCTTAAGGCTAGCCAATATCTATAAGATGGGGAAATATAGATCTAATCTATCGGGAAGATCTGCCGAGTCTGAAACAAGTCTCCTCCCCATGCCGGAATAAATTCTCCGGTCCTTTGCATGAGTGTTTATGGTACACGAGAAAAGTTCTTCTCCCTAAATATGCGCTAGGAAAGATGCTTAGACATCAGATTAAGTGCACTGCCAGCCTTAAAGTACTCAATCTGCTCCTGGGTAAACGAATGAGAAACCTCCGCCTGCCAGGGCTCACTAGAGGATTCCGTGGGAGTTACCAAGAGTGTGAGTGGTTGGCCAGGAGTCAAGGTCGCCAGACCCTTGATACTGACAAGATCCGAAGAACAGATGCGGTCATAATCCGCCTCATCGGCGAAGGTAAGTGGTAGCATTCCTTGCTTTTTCAGATTGGCCTCATGAATACGCGCAAAGCTTTTAGCGATGATGGCAACGCCTCCAAGGTACCGAGGCTGGAGAGCGGCGTGTTCACGGGAGGATCCCTCCCCGTAGTTATGGTCGGCAATCACTACCCAAGGGCGACCTTTGGCTTGATAGTCCCGAGCTGTGTCGGGCACGCCGCCATCTTCACCTGTCAAGCGATTGCGGATCTGGTTGACCTGCTCAGTTTCCGCGTTGACTGCCCCGATCAAGGTATTGTTCGAGATGTTCTCAAGGTGACCCCGAAAACGGAACCAGGGCCCGGCGGGAGTGATATGGTCGGTGGTACACTTGCCCTTGGTTTTGATGAGAATGAGGCAGTCCTCGAAATCAGTTCCGGACCAGGGCTTGAATGGGGCGAGCTTCTGCAGGCGCTGGGAGGAGGGAGGAATCTGAACTTGGATATGACTGCGGTCACCTGGAGGAGGGGCTAGGTAGGCAGAATCTGAATCTTCATATCCCCGGCTGGGAAGTGACTGGCCAACAGGAGGAGTAAAGCGAAATTCCTCTCCTGAGGGAGTCGTCAGACTGTCCTCATTTGGGTTGAATGAAAGATCGTCAGAGAATATTTTGCCCATGACAACCTCCGGGGAGGAAAGAAATACATGAGTTGCTGGGTTAGAATCTAGACGACCTGAAAAGTTGCGATTGTATGAGGTAACGATGGAGTTGGGCGTCCCCTGTGAGGGCCTGTCAGGAGGTAATGATCGCAATATACGAAGCGTAACCAGGGCGAGATATACATACTTTTGGCATGTCAGCACGGTCCCAAGAGCCACAGCAGGGACCACAGGCATTGGTCAGCATCGTCGCCCCAACCTTTTCAAGGACATCAACAATCCCAGCGTTTTCGAGTGTTCGTCGAGTCTGTAAACTGCCGGGAGACACCAGAAGAGGTACTTTTGGTTTGAGACCAGCATCCAGTGCTTGTTGAGCAACACTAGCGGCGCGTGTCATGTCTTCGAATGAGGAGTTGGTACACGATCCGATGAGACCAGCTGTGAGCTTTGGCCACCCGTTCCCCTTCACAGCCGACTGGAACTTGGACAATGGGGTAGCGAGATCTGGAGTAAAGGGTCCATTGATCTGTGGTTCCAAGGTTGATAGATCAATCTCTATGACACGATCGTACTCTGCCCCATGGTCAGCACACAGCTCATGGGAGACCGACTCAACCGCTTGAGCCATGTCTGGTCTGTGGTTTGCACGAAGATACGCTGCCATCTGGGGAGAGTAAGGGAAGATGGACGTGGTAGCACCTGTCTCGGCCCCCATGTTACAGATTGTGGCCATTCCAGTCGCCGAGAGTCCCTTTGTGCCTGGCCCAAAGTATTCGACAATGGATCCAGTCCCGCCCTTGACAGATATCAGACTGGCAAGCTTGTTGATCACATCTTTGGGAGATGACCATCCAGTGAGTTCTCCGGTCAATTTAACACCAAGCACACGAGGTGCTGTTAACTCCAACGGTAAACCAGCCATGACATCCACTGCATCAGCTCCACCCACTCCGATCGCAATCATCCCCATACCTCCAGCATTTGGGGTATGAGAATCAGTCCCGACCATGATACCACCGGGGAAAGCGTAATTTTCGAGCACAATCTGATGAATAATTCCAGCGCCAGGCTTCCAGAAGCCCATATTATATCTTTGACAGGCACTCTCCATGAACTCGTACACCTCTTGGTGGGCCTCGAGAGCGCGAGGAAGATCTTCAGTCTCGCCGTCGCGACTAACAATCAGGTGATCACAGTGTACTGTTGTTGGAACTGCAGTAGATTCAAGCCCTGCAGACATGAACTGAATGAGAGCCATTTGAGCAGTAGCATCTTGGCAGGCGATTCGTAGGGGCCGCAATTTCAGCTGTGTTTTCCCTCGTACTATATTCTCATCGTTTGAGGCGTCATCTAGGTAGGCATAGAGAATCTTCTCAGCGTAGGTCAAAGGTCGACCCAAGCTACATTGAAAATGTGATTAATATGCATTCGAACTCAGGGCACTCATTTGAACGGACACAACTGGAAGAGTAGCACCTACCGATGGCGGACCTCGTTGACCTTGCGCGTAAACTTCAGCAAGTCAACATGCCGATGTTGCTCGAATCGGCTCAAAGATGCTGTACTAGGTGAAGCCTCTGAGGCAAACCACCTATGAATTGACCTTGATCTCAGCCAATGCCTCGAGCTATGTTGTGAGGAAAACCTGGGTCGCATTGCTATAGAGACCATCTTGCCCGCCTTTTTTTCAAAAAGAGGGAGCTTCAAGATACCCCACGGAACATAGAGAAGATCTCGCAAATTTAACCAAGGCTATGTGTTATGTGTTTAGTTATTCTCGAGCTCTCATTAGCTAGTAAGTTCGCAGTTGCTGTCGTTTCGGATGCATCCGTCGCGAGTATAGAGTCGGGTGCATCCGACCCCAAAGTACCCCACGCCACGCCTGTGAACAAACACTTAGCTGGGGTCCACATTTATCGTGATAAACGAGAAAAGGAGGGTTTGCTCTATGCTTTTCTCGGTAATCGGTGCCTCTTCTTGCTATGGATACCCAATCTATGGTGTAATGTAACCTCTCCCTGACATAAAAAGACCCGACCTCGCCTTTTCGACTTCTTCTCTCCTCCTTCTCCCTCCCTCCCTTCAACTCGCGCGTGCCACTCCGCGCGATTTCTCCAGCTAAATCGTGAGACCAATGTAAAGTCGAATCTCTGTCAAAATGTTGGGGGAGACTTCGTGGTCTTGGAACTGGACAACAGGATCGGATGATCTTTGCACTTGTCACGAGCATAGCAGAAGTGTATTTAGTCCGGAGTATTCGAGTCAGACAAGAAGCGGAAGAATTACAGGTAGACGGGATCTTGTTACGATAACTTAGATCTTGAAATACAAGTCGCTATACTCGATCCAGCGTCGAGCGTCGAGTAAAAGCTAGCCTTTACTTTCTGAGTCCCTAACCTGCACGTACAGTGGTCAGTCTTCACTTTCCAGAGAGCCCTAGCGTCCATCTGGTTAAACAGAAATATTCCTAAGTCTGATCAAGAGCAAGAGGCTAAAGAAATAAGCACTGCTATTATATCCACACCTACTAATAAAACTAAAGTATAGAGCTAGGGCAGTGGAGCAGGGAGGAGGGACAGAACTGGAGAAGTGCATTGTCACTGTCAGTAGTTAAATTCCGGAACCCAGTGTCTCCGTCCAATTTCCGCCAGTTCCTGTCCTGTAAGCACAATATCACCCCCTAAGTTGACTTGAACTCCGGTCGGAGGTTGGGGCCCGGTGAATGCGACGATAGGAAGTCGAAGGGCCATCAGCGTGTTGGTGGAGTTTCTGTGATCCTGGAACTCGACCACAGGACCAGAATGATAGCGGATAATCTTGGCACTTGCTATAAGCATAGCAGAAGTGTAGTTGCGCTGGAGAATTTGAGTATAGAAAGGGGCAGACTGTATAATGCTAATTTCGATCTCTTCAGGAAGTCTCTTGATCTTCGCTGTGAGGCAGATCTTGAACAGCGAGCCATCATCCTCAATCCAGCGTTGAGCGTCGAGTAAAAGCTGGCGTTCACTTTCTGAATCCCCCACCTGGGCACAGACTGTCCAGTCCTTCCTTCCCCGGGGGCGCCAAGCTCCATCTGGCTGTAGAACAATATTGCCAAGTCTGACGGTGGGCGACAGGGTGGGGGTGCACGCGGTGTACATCAGGCCCTCAGCATTGAGCTTGAGGTCAATGAGGCTGTGGAGCTGAAAGGAGATATCTTCAAGGGCCTCGTTGGGCATTCAAACACGGAGTATGTGCTGCTCGAAGTTGTAAACGCAGTGTAGGCGCCTTGTTGTTAAAGATTGCTGTCTCTGGATCTTATGGAAGATGTCCTCACTGATGTCGCAGAACTCCCGGTGTCCCGTCCGGCCAGCTTGGATATCGGCGTCTAGCTGGCGTTTAATGAGTTCGAAAGTCGGTTCTGGAGTAGGCATACTATATTCGGTGGACTGGTTGGACGTGGTAGAAGTGGTTTCGTGAGGGGGAAAAGAGGAGTCAAGAACTGCAGAAGGAAATGACTGGGCGTCCATGATGAGGGAATCCGTTAGGAAGGTGGGTGATAGAGGAAGGTAAGAGCGTATCGCAAGATGCCTCGAACTGTCATAAACCTACAGTGACCCTACAGTGACGTTACAAATATTTGAACCCTTCTATCACACCGCCCGACATTTGGCATGAGGTATATGCCGAGCAGCGACATCGCTGTCCAAAGTTACGGGCGGAAAGAAGGCCGTTTCTGGCGCCAAAGGCTGTCATTTTCGGCGTCGTTTTCACAGGTCCCTATATTTTAGTTGGAACTCTGATAGCGAACGGGCACCAAGCAATTTCCGGCGGAACCCAGTCTTCGGTATACCAGGATGAGGATGCGGTTCTAAAGCCCCATGATATTTGATGGATATGCTATGAGACTCTTCCTATTGATAGTCGAACGGGGTCTATCCAATACTATAGTCATACTATTCATCCAGACTCACTATTTCAGTATCTTTTAAACCTGGCTGTACTGTACCCGAGGCAATGTCGTTATTTCGCATAATAGCAGCACTGCCAATATAAGGCGAATGCACAAGGATATAATTATCGCTAACAGATATCTCACTTATAAAAGCGAGCCGGATTATCGCTCATCAGCTTTTCCCATGCTTGTTCACTGCCCATCCAGTCTCTCAGACTTCGTAGAATCCCAAGATTATCAATCGAACGAAATCCTTCTTTCACGTCGATGTCCGTATTCTTCAGGCGAGCCGCACCGTCTCCCGTATGTGGCCAGTCACTACCCCAGACCAACTGATCCGGGACCTCACGTGCCAGTGACTCGATAATTGGTTTCATGTCACCGTAAGTAGAGACAGCGTCGCTGGAACAACGATACAGGCCAGATATCTTCACTATAACACGCCCTTGTCTGGCTAGGGATGTAAGAGATGAAAAGCCAGGCTGCGATAAGGGTGATTCTTGGAATTCCGGCGGCAACTTCGACCGGCCCAATGCTCCTCCCACGTGGTCAGCGATGACGGGGACTGGCAGATCGAGGATGGAATCATATAGAGCTAGGTACGTCATTACCAAGTAGGTTAAATCGACACACGAAGATACTCCACAAGCGTTGAAACTTACCATCCCATACCCAGACAGGAACATACAGCTGAACCATCCAGCCTGGAAGATGCTGAATGCGACGGGCAGCTTTGTATAGAAGGTGCGCCAGCTCAGTTAGGTTGACTTCACGACCGTCCGCTTGGAAATTCAAGCGGACCCCTCGTGCACCGAGCTGATGCATCTCCTCCAAGGTATGATCTGTCACGTTATCCAGATCAATAACCACAATAGCGCGTCCATTGATGTTCCGGGCTTGTAAATCCCATAAGCATTTTAACAATACCCTGCAATCGGTCTTGTATGGTGATGGCTGCACGAGGACCAGATTACCCACTTGGCCGTCTTGTGCTAGATGTTCATTGAAAGCAATCATCCTTGATAGAGGGGCGTCTTCCGGTGTGTATACTCGACTCGGGGCATATGGTCCCAGACTGGGATCGAAGACGTGGACATGGGTATCGAAAGCGCCCGCTGGTAAGAGAGGCGTTCTGGAACTGTCAGATCCTGTTTCGTATTTTCATTTGATATTCCATCGACTTTCTTACTTTGTCTTCCCGTCTTTCACAGAACTAAACTTATGTGCTGGACCTTTCGTCTGTGCTATGGTGGATACGGTGCCCATCGTGCTGCGCGAAATCTGATACACCTTGAATGATCTACTGGCCCGAGGCAGCATCTGCAATTATCGCTGGTCAATATATACAAGAGAATACGAAACATCAAGTAAATACCAGAAATCACTCATACTAACATATACCTCGGCCGCACATGGTCCATTTTTCCAGACCGAGTCGGGTGTGCCGACAATCGCTCAGAGAATGCAGAGATCGGATGCTTCCGATCTGTTTTCTCTTGTCTCCAACATTGAGATACAGAAATGGTAGCGCTAGTAGGAACTTTTAATTTATCTATAAGTCTGTCCAATTGCAAGTAGAATAACAGAATAAACCGAAAATAGCTAATTTCAAGACAGACGGACGATCACATATACAGAGTTCTCAGCTGTGCTTAGATTTCCCTTTCACTGGATGATTTCGACGTCACTGTGTCCACAAAACATACCAAGTTGACAATGAATGCGCAAACCGCAGTACCTACAAGCCCTGTAGCTCTTCCTTCAGAAGCGACAGGCGAGAAAAGGAGAAAGATCCCTCTCCGAAACTTAGGGGTTGGGGCCTTCATGAATATATTTCAGGGTCAGTGTTACCGGTCGATATATCGTAGTTGGTCTTCTAACAGCAATCATAGTTACAACCCTTGGTCAGCCGATGGAGGTTCTCAAAACACATGTGAGTTTCACCTGATATAGTGTGTTAAATGTAGAATCTGCGGAGGCCCGGACTGGAGCAAATCGTTAACAGCACTGAATGCATTAGCTCGCTGCCAACAGACACGACACGTTAAGGGCTGCCGTACAAAAGACATGGCTCCGCGGGGGACCGCTTGCCTTTTACCAAGGCCTGATACCTTGGGTAAGATATAAGGGTTCACTATAGACTTGACTAGACATGCTAACAAGAGTGCTGATCCACAGGCTTGGCTGGAAGCCTCCACCAAAGGGGCGATACTCATCATCACGTCGACTGAGATTGAGCACCATGCTAAGATGAAGCTCGGTGCTTCGCCTACTGTCTGTGGTGCCCTGGGAGGAATCGCGGGCGGGGTTGCACAAGCCTACCTGACCATGGGGATGACCACTTGTATGAAGACAGTAGAAGTGACACGGACGAAGATGTCTGTAAACGGTGCTAAGGTGCCGGGGACGTTTGAGGTATTCTTCAAGATTATCCGCGAACAGGGGATACGAGGGGTGAACAAGGGAGTAAACGCCGTTGCATTACGCCAGATCACCGGTTGGTCATCGAGGATTGGGATTGCTCGATTTGCAGAGGAACGGATTCGCTGGATGAGCGGGAAAGGCAAAGAAGAGAAGCTTGGTTTTGGTGAGAAGATGCTAGCCTCCACGATTGGGGGTGCTCTGAGTTGCTGGAATCAGCCGTTCGAGGTTAGTTGGCATCCCGTCTTGTTCGGGCATGATATACTGATAAACGTGAATAGGTCCTTCGAGTGGAAATGCAGTCAATGAAAGAGGAACCCGGTCGAGTAGCACGTCCAACAATGATGTCTACTCTAAAGAAGATTCTTCACACTTCGGGAGTCCAGGGTCTCTTCCGAGGTGTTGTGCCACGAATCGGCGTAGCTGGCTGGGCTACTATCTGCATGGTTGGGCTTGGAGATATGGTGAAAGAATTTGTAAACAGATACTAGGCAAACGTTTTTTACCCGGTACAAGACTATAAGCAAATTTTCGCGTATTCACACCTAATACATAGTAAATCAGAGCGAGATACACCAGTTCAGCAACCTAGCCATTGACAACCAGCAGTATAGTTAGGTTTGACCGATCGTTATCTAGCTAAGTGGAATAGGTGGAAGAAGAGAAAGGAGGCAGACTACAGTAGAAGCAAAAATACAGAATGATTCAGGTCATAGCCTCACTGAATAAATGTTCTTATTTGTGCATGACTGGTAATTTGTCTCATATCCATTGAACTACACTGGATACTAGCTATACACCACCTCATCCGACACTGATCATAGAACTAGTTCTAGCTATAATCTATACGCGTTCGATGCACCTGGTATTTTGCTTTTCGCTGCAATTTGATATTAGCAATGTGTAGCAACTTAAAGAGGAAAAAAAATAAAAAGAAAAAAACTGGGACCTACTCGTCATCCTCATCGTTCTGTCTCTCAGGAGCCAACGGCTGACCTAGTCGGTAGAGTGGTCGCTCAAAGATCTTGTTTATCTCCTCGAGACTTAGGCCGCTAGTCTCGGGAACCAGGAAGAAGGTGTATACGAACGCAAGGAGACAGAATCCGGCGAACAACACAAACGCGCCCCATGTGTGTAAACCAGTCAGTAGAGATGGCGTTGCCTTTGTGATGGCGAAATAGAAAAGCCAATGGAAACACTGAGACAGAGCACCCCCAAAAGAGCGAATCCGGCTAGGCCACAGCTCGGCACCAAACAGATAAGGCAGCGTGTAGAGTCCAATTGCCCATCCCAAGGCATGAATGTATATGAAGGCAATGGCTGCGTCTGAAGCTCCTTTCGGCATAGTTGAAGGCTCTTTGGTGAAGAAACTCAAATAGCCAGCCAAATAAGAGTGGCAGATTATCTGAATGGTAATACCGGCCATGAGGGACTTGCGCCGACCCAGCACATCAACGAAGCATAGCGAGGCAGCCATGCAGAATATGAGCTTTGTAATTGCATAGAGACCCGTGCTGTAGACCTTGACTCCAGACCCTTTGATACCTACCATACCAAAAATTGTTGGCAAATAGTTAGTCACGGAATTGGCCCCAGACATCTGTGCGAGGATATACGCCACAAGGGAGAGCTGCACGCGGCGTAGATTGCTGCGTATAAAAACCGTTTCCTTGACTACTTTTAAAGAGCTGGTTGGCCCAAGGGAGGTGTCCTCTTCTTCTACCTGGCGTACCATTTCACTGTATTCAGTGTCCACGTACGGGTGGTTTGCTGGTAGACCTCGAAGACGTAGTAGGGTAGTAAGGGCGCTTTGTCGTTTATTGCTCAGAATGATACAACGCGGGGACTCAACGGCAAAGAAGGAGAGGATGATACTGATCGATGGAGCAAAGGTCTGAGTAAACCAGGGGACTTGATACTGGAGATTCTTCGCCGGTGATATATGTATGGAGCATCCATACACCGTGAAAACACCTAACGCCTGTCCAGACAGCATGCAGACATTGAATAGCAGAGTCATGAGGCCTCTCGTGGCCTTGGGTGCCACCTCTGCAATTGTCATAGGGCCTACCACGGTCAATGCCCCAATTCCCAGGCCGGCAATCAGGCGGCCAGCGTAGAGAACGCCGACATTGCCGTAGGAAAAACAGGATATCAAGGAGCCAATGATGTATACCAACTGGTAAAGTCGCATCGACCATCTGCGACCAATGCGGTCATTCAGTAAGAAGGAGAGCAAAGCACCGACTCCCGCTCCAAGGTTGACGAAGGAGACAATGTTCGAAATAGTATTGTTGTCTAGATTATACATGCGCTCGAAAGACTTAAGCTGTGTAATAGCAGATGCCGATCCTTCATCCCAACCTATAATTAAACGAGCGGTCAGATACAAGCATTTTACAACCGGTGAGATCCTAGCCCAGAAGCATACCTTTCGCACAGCCACAGAGGGCAAATGAGACAACCACAATCGCGAGGTTATGGTTGTATATCTCCCGTGGAGAGTCACGGATAGCATGAATATACTTAGCAAGTGAGGTAGTAGAACGAGCCATCATTTTAGAGGTATTGGCCGTACACGAGGACAAAGAAGTAAGGGCAAAGTGTCCACCCAAGGCCTCGCACGCAATCGGTATTGTAGGGCATGGCATCCGACTGAGAATGCTTGCACCTTTATGTTAATTATTTGAAGTGCCGAGACCCCGCAACGTGATATTACCCCAGATTTCAAATTCCCCAGATTCTGTTGCAATTGGAGAAACGGAACCATCCGAAAAGAAAAAGCTGGCTCTGGATGGATGTGATATTGGCCGTATACAGCCAAGTGCAGCTTGGGCTGAGTGACTATGCAGAGAGTTATTGAAAATGCGAGGACAATAACTGGCATGAGAGAAGTACCTAAGGCTAGTAGCAATGCTTGGCTCCTGGCATGTCCAATAATATCCTTGATATACCCCCTTAACTATATTCTATCTTGCAGATGGCCCGTCTCACTGAGATCTACTCAATAAGGCAAGCGTGGGTTCACTTAAGAGTGTTGAGATCATCTGATCCTCCATCGGATCTATCCGAAACTAGACCGACATCTACAGCCGACCAGTAGTTCACCTTAAATGAAACTTCAATTCTGATAGATAAAGGCATTGAAGGCAGTCTCGTGAAATACTCCACACCTTGTTAGCTCGTATTTGGTATTTTCTATATTCCGCACCTTGAGACTATCCTGACCGAGATGCTATCACGCGCAACATCTTTTCCACGGCGTCTCCCAGAACATTTGTCCTTCTCAGGGTTTTCATCCAGACGATGGATTTCTCATTCTTATAACCTTTTCCAGCAACAAACTGAGCAGCTACGAATGAAGAAACAGCGCTCTCTTCCCGCAGCTTATTATCGGGGAGGCACCTCGAGGGCGGTCTTTTTCCGACAGGAAGATCTACCTCGTGACAGAAAGTCTTGGGATCCTATTTTTCTGGATGTGATCGGCAGTCCCGACCCTTACGGGCGTCAGCTTGATGGGCTTGGTGGAGGTATCTCTAGTCTCTCCAAAGTGTGCATCGTCGGCAAGTCACAACATCCAGAGGCTGACGTCGACTACACTTTCGTTTCCCTGGGGGTGAAGACGCCGGATGTTGATTATTCAAGCAACTGCGGGAACATGATCAGTGCAGTCGGTCCCTTTGCCGTCGATTCTAAGCTTGTCCAGGTGTCATCTGCCGCGTCCGAAGCGTCAGTACGAATCCATAACACTAACACGGGCAAAGTCATTCGTGCGACTTTTCCAGTTGTTGACGGAGAGGCCGCCTCAAGCGGTACATTCGCCATTGATGGAGTTGCAAGCACAGCAGCACGCGTTCAACTCGATTTCTTGAATCCAGCTGGGTCTCGAACCGGGAAACTACTTCCCACAGGAAATGTAGTTGATACATTCGATGGGGTAGCAGCAACATGCATTGATGTCGCCAACCCCTGTACCTTTGTCCGGGCCAGTGACCTTGGTGTGGATGGAAATCTAACCCCCGAGGAGGTAGAAGTGCATCCAGACTTGCTAGTACGTCTAGATTCAATCCGTCGTCAAGCAGGAGTGAAGATGGGCTTAGCATCAACACCAGAGACCGTTCCTGGGAGCGTACCTAAAATCTGTCTAGTGTCAACACCGCCTGAAAATGGACGAGCGATCCAACAGAAACAAACTGCTCGTGATGTGGATGTTCTCGCCCGGTCGATCTCTGTCGGGCAACCTCATAAGGCGATCCCAATCACCGTGGCTCTGGCTCTGGCGTCTGCCGCTCGAGTCCAGGGGAGTACTGTGGCAGATGTTGCTAGCAAACAACCTGTGGATCAGGCGGGTATCACCATCGGACATGCCAGTGGTAACCTACTGGTTGGAGCAGATTTTGATCCTACTGGAGCACTTTCAGCTGCTACCGTCTTCCGAACAGCCCGCCGTCTCTTTGAGGGACGCATATTTTGGAAGGATGAGTCGATATAAACAGACTGCAGGACAAGGGCTTACTAGACAGATAGACGATATGTAGACAAAAGAAAGCATGCTTGATTCGCATCTTAAGAGCCGGGTTGCATTTCTATACTAGCACCTGCAGCCAAGATTAAGTCCTATTCTCATGTAGACTTGTAATGATTGTTAAATGATCGAAATGTGATTGGCTGGCTGGGCAGTCTCCATCGAGATCACGTGCCACAGATCCAAATGTAAACGGTCGATTAGCTCCATTGCATTTTCTCTCTCAGGGACAGAATGTGGAGAGAAGGCGCTCAGTACCGAAAATATGCCCCATAAAGTGGTTCTCCTCAGGGGAAAAAGATGAACTCCCGACAATCCATGACAACCCCATCTTCCAGCCCAGTTCCTCGGCGGCATCGTCGTGGACTCACTCGGAGCGCTGCCGCCTGTGAGCGCTGTCGACGGCGAAAACAAAAAGTAAGCATGTCTTTCGTCTTGCTGAACCGCATCCCTGAAGTTCGGCTGATGACCGTACCCCCAGTGTGATGGTAAAACCCCAACATGTGGGCCGTGCGCCGGGGCGGGTGCGACATGCATACCTTCCGAAAGACTATTGATCCGACAAGGAGATGCCGACTGTGAATGTCAGTCGCTTCGTGAACAGTTGGTGTCTTTGGAGCGTCGCTATGAAGCTCTAGCCCAACAGCACGAGGAGTTGCTGGCACAGAAGGAGATGGATGCCAACCCTCGAGCCTTGGATGACCACACATTGGTCCATTCTTCATTGGATTACCCCGACGCCATAGGGACTTCTGAGACTGTGGTGCCTCAGGGTCCAGACCTACAGCGTAATGCCAATTGTGCTTACTCGGGCCGCATCCTCCGACCAACTTTCTCTAAGAGTACTGATCTTGAGGGCATGAATAAGAGCACATTGAGTTGCGCCTGGAATCTCTGGGGGGATGATTCAGTGCCAACGGAACCGCCTATATCTATGAATATTCTCAATAACGCCGCCTACATAGAGCTTGTGAATATCTTCTTTGAACGCCGATGGCCTTACCTCCCCGTGCTCCATCGGCCAACCTTTGAAGCCAAATATCTTACTCCTTTCATGACTAATTTAGAGGCCGATCCAGTATCCAATTTCTTTGTGTATATGGTCCTGGCGGTTGCGGCGACAGAGAAATCTTGGGTCGAGCAAGAAAACCGATTGATTCATCGGAAATTCTTTGATCGGGCTGTGCAGGAGTTGCATTACGTTATGCGCATCGATGATTTTGAATGCGCACAATGCCTGCTGCTTCTTTGCATGTATGGCCACAATGAGCCACAGGCAGTGAATTTATGGTACACATCAGGACTTGCCCTTCGTTTGGCAACTGGGATCGATTTGCATCGCCGTGAGAGTCTTGTAGGTCTAGACTTGTTCCGCACCGAGATGTCCAAGCGGGTGTTCTGGTGCGCATATGTCATGGATTGCAGCATTGCGGTAAATATGGGACGACCGCTAGGCATTCAAGACACAGATATTTCTACTCCTTTGCCTCTCCAACTATCCGATGATCAGCTACGTGATACAGTTGAGCCTCCCAACCCAGAACCCGTGACAATTCCCAAGGTCACAGACACCTCAACATTTATCCACATCATAAAACTACGCAGAATGAATGCCGAAATCTACAAGGCCTTTCATCCCGCTGTACGTAGCTCATCGGCACGCGATGGGGTAGACGCGCTGCGATCATATTACTATTCAGAATTGAACATGTGGCTTGTCACTGCCCCGAGATACCCTCATACCCATTCCACTTTCCAGTCTCTTGAGTGGTTCCACATTGCGTTCAATCATGCAATCATGTCATTATATCGCCCATCTCGCACCGCGCCAATCCTCTCAGCGGATGACCTCCGCATCTGCACCGAAGCAGCCATTGGCCTCATCAGCTCCTATAGCTCACTTTATGCGCGGAACAAAATAAAATACACCTTTGTGGCCATTCACTCCCTCTTCTTAGCTGCGTTGACCATGCTGTACGCCCTTCGAGCGTCCCCGGCTCTTCGCCAGGATCTGACAAAGCCCGTGATCAGTACAAACATATCCACCTTCCTGACCCTCTTTCGTGGCATCTCAAACGGCCGTGCGGTAGGAGAGAAGTGTTCTTCTATCATCGAGCGTCTGGGGGCCGCGATCTTGACTTTGTTCGATGACACCGAACAACCAATCTCTGCCGTGGACGATGAGTTCCAATCGTGGTTTGGGCTGCAGACGAACATATTTTCACCGCGGGATCGGGATGCAACATTTGGAGACCCTGTTGGCGTGTCTCCACATTTACCTGATGACCGGGTAGATTTACCGTGGACTGACTTGTTCATTGAAGGGCTCGATATGGGCGCCGTGAGCGCCTGGAATTTCTTTTAACGGGCAGGAATTGTGAGATCATTGTCGGTTGGGATTTCAAATTGAACCACCGGGAAGAGTGAGCCAATTTGACTAGATTGTACATATATTGTGGCGCCAGCAGATGTGTAAATAAATATATATATACAACAGACATTGATAAGGTTTGAAGACGCAGAAGTGGACCGTGACTAAGTTCGGCGAAAGGAAAAGAACGCCGACAACCGACGGTCGATGCAGCCGAACATAGCAAACTCAGATCAACGTTTTGCCAACAGCTCATGTGGATAGACAGATAGGGTCAGTGCTTATTTTTCTATCTAGCACAGCCAATTCTATGCCATGAATCGCAGAAGACGGAGCAGATCCACCGATCAGGCCAGTAGCCCATCTAAACGAAGGAAGATTGTCGCGTACGTGACCCGCTACTCTGGCTTTTGGCTCAACAGGCGATCGAAACTAATCTCACCTTAATCCAACTACAGATGTCAGCGATGTCATGACCATAAAATCAAATGTTCCGGAGACCAGCCGTGCGCCAAATGTCGACAGGTTGGGTGTGCGGACAAATGCCAGTACACACCAAGGGATCGACAGGTCAAAGTGAGCGAAAGGTATGACCATCTGGCACCTTCGAGAGGACACGACATCATTGGGCATCGCAGCTTACATGGCCAAGTTATTTGAATTTGCTGGAATCGGAAAACCAACGCTTGAAAGAGCAGTCAGCTTCCTCGGCCAACGCGACCGAAGCCGACCATGATGCCGAGCCAGAGCCGGTGCCACCTGCAGACGCACCGGACGAGAGCAATACCAGTGTGCGCAATCCCTTGATCGGCGACCGTGCATGGTTTCACCGCTACGATCCATCTACACCTCCACTTTTCATAGGGGAAGCGGCCTGTACCGCGTTTGCTACCCGCTTTCGCCGATTTCTGACGGGGAACAATGCCTTGCCTCATATCCCTCGGACGCAGTATGTCAAGGAAGAGCAGATCGCCGAGGCCAATGCCACCAATGTCCAATGGCCCAGTTTTCACCAGGCTCGATTGCTGGTAAAGATAGCAATACGTCAGGTCGGCTCTATCTATCATCTTGTTCTTCGCAAATCGACGTTGGAGAAGCTCGAGGAGATATATCGAACGGGCGACTTTGACTGCACGGTCAATCAATGCAAGTTCTTTGCTCTGTTCGCGTTCGGGGAAGCGTACTCGATGAGAGCTGAGCCCTTATCTGGGTCCAGAGTGCCGGGGACCTCGTATTTTGCGCGCGCCTTGAGCTTGGGGCAAGTTTTGCCCGAAAGAACAAGTATCACACACCTAGAGACTCTATTGCTACTGGTAAGCACCTTTTTCCTGGAAGCGGCAACCCGGCTAAGATGGAATCAGTCCCTGTTCTCTTACTACCTTAACCGACGTCATTCGGCCTTGGTATTGATAGGAACCGCCCTGCGGCTGGGGCTGTCGATTGGGTTGAACCACAATATTCCTGAATCGCAGCTGATCGACCCCGTGGAGCGTCAACACCGGATCCGGATATGGTGGACGATATACATCTTCGATCGCATGTGGGGATCTAAAATGGGCCATCCGTCGCAGATCCCCGACGATGACATCCACTTGGACATGCCCTCCAATATCAGCCCGGCACAGTTGCACGAGGAACAGTTCACAGATACAGAATATCTGACCGCTAATGTTAAACTGGCCCGAATCGTGGGCGAGACCATTGCAAAGCTATATAGTCGACGAAAGTACAGCGAAACATTTCTACAACGGGTGCAGAAACTGCTTAAGGCGTTGAAAAGCTGGGTGGAAACGCTACCGGAACATCTTCGACTTAACGACGACGACCCGGGCACCTATATGAAACATATCAGCTCTCTACATCTTTCTTTCAACCAAGTATGCCCTTACTTACTCTACACGTTCGCATATCACTTTTTTCTAACCAGCGAGAACAGTGCGTAATCCTAACCACCCGCCCAACACTCCTCCACCTTCTCATGAAACTCAACGAGACCAACTCCCCAAGCACCAACCACGAGAGTATCTCCCAGCCCGTCCTAACCCTCGGCGAAGCCTGTATCCACGCAGCCCGCCACTCGCATACCCTTATCCTGACCAAATGGATCAACGGCTCCCTCCCAGTATTCGGCTACTTCCACGCGCACTATCTCTTCTCCTCGGCACTCGTACTCGCAATGTCCAGCTTCCTCCCAATCGGCAGCCCATCCGACCTGGGAGCATTCGAGTCCGGCCTGGAAGTGCTCCGGTCCATGAGCGAGAACGGGAACCTAGCGGCATCCGAGTTCTACCACAACCTAGAACAGGTGAAGCAGTGTCTCGACCTACGCAAATCCAAAGAACCTAAATCCACTTCGAACGCCGACCAACAACCAAGCACCACCGCATCAGGCTCGGGCCCTACGATCCCATCTACATTCCCCCCGACGGTGTCAACAGTTCCCCCGGCCACAACAGTCTCCGATCCCCCCCTACTCACAACAGCGGAGGCCGATCTGATCAGCAATAATCCGGGGTATGGCCATGCGCAAGGTAGCAATCCCACCTTTACCCCCGGCAACCTTACCTTCCCAACGACAGCAGGCGGGATCACAACCGCAATGGCGTTCCTTGAGCCAACGATGCAGGACTTCCTGGCTCAATCGGACTTTGATCTGGGATTGCTACATCCCGTAGATACATTCATGAACGACGAGAATCTGTACACATGTCATGACTTATAAAGAGGAAAAAGGAAATCAGTCTATTAGTTTATCTCTAATCTTTTAGATCTAGCTCATCTCTAATATCTATTAAAACAACGCACTGTCGTTACCATAACCATATGCACATCCATAACCATAATCATAAATATAAGATCAACCCGAATCAAAACCCAGGTCTATCATGAATGCGGAACTTGCGCTCCGCCCATTGTTGCATATCAAGGCCCCATCGCGAGGTAGCCATCGTTAACAGACCACCGATGATGGAAAGGATCACACCTGCACAACCAGTCAGTCACACATTCACCCCCCTGAGGAAATTTAAAAAGAAAAAGAGGGGGGAAAGGGAAACATACAAATGGTAAAAGTCCACCCAACGCCAATCGCATTAATAATCGGGACCACAAGCGCACTACTCCCCGCCGAAAAGACATACTGGATGATATACTTCCCAGCGATGACTTCGGAGCGTTTATGAGGCAAGGCCTCTATATCACCCATTAGCAGCCACTCAACGCATTTGCAAACCTGAAATGGATAGATAGAAAGAAAATCTCACCAGCAACATAAGTATTCAAGGTATTAAAACTCCCCATCAGCCCCCAGCCAGCAAAAAACGCCGCCAAGATGGGTACGACCATGCCGCCCTTCTCCTCCTGCAGGGTCCAGCCGTAGATCAGCGTCGAAACGGGCAGCACGGCGAACAGGGTGACGAGGCCGGAGTTGAGGCGGTCCTGGGGTAATCGGAAGCCGCGGCGGGCGATGTGCTTGCGGACGGTGCGGTCGGAGAGTTTGCCGCCGACGATGCTGCCGATCAGGAAGCCTGCTCCTGGGGCGAGGTAGAAGAGGCCGGAGATCAGGGCCGTGGTGAGGTGGAAGCGGGGGTTGAAGATTGAGCGGGCGGAGGTGAGGAGGGAGTATTGGAATGTGGCGAGGAGGCCGCAGGTGAGGTCCTTTTTGTTGGTGTGTATGTGTTAGTTGATGAGGTCTGGTTCCTGGTCTGGGGTGGTGGACAAGGGCTTACGGAGAAGAAGACGTTGGGATAGACCCATTGTCTGAAGATTCGGAGGGGGTTGAAGAGGCGTAGGGCTGAGAGTACGGTCCTCTTCTCTTTCTCTTCGGGGTCCTCTTTGGACTGTTGTTTGATTTCGGGGACGAAGAGGATGGACAGGACCAGGCCGAGTCCTGTCATGCCGACTTGGAGCCAGTAGATATTGCGCCAGCTGGAGAAAGTGACGATGAGGCCTCCGATACAGGGTCCAATTGCAGGACCGGAGACCGATCCTGCCATAAAGAATCCTACGGCTGTGCCACGGACAACCTGTTAGGCATTATTAATACTGAACTGACGATGATCCCCACCACAGTATACAGGAGGATAAGGAAAGGTGGTGGGAAAGTACCGGTTCGAAAATGTCCGCCAGAATGGTCTGTCCTGAAACCATGAATGACGTTCCTGTCAAACCGCTCAAGACTCGAAACGCTGTAAACATCTTCATATCTACAGCAGCTCCCGTCGCCGCCGAACACACACAAAGCATGAAGATCGCAATATTATACGAGATCCTTCTGCCAATTAAATTGTTCAAGGGACCCCAGATAAGCGACGAGAAGCCCATGGCCAGCAAAACGCCGGCATTAGTAATGTTGAGAGTCTCGGTTGTGGTGTTGAACTCCTCGGCGATCTCGGGGGTTGCAGGAAGAAGAGATGTGCTGGAGAAGGTAACAGCAAGTGTCATCCAACTGACGACGAAGAGAATGATACATTTTCGCCAAAAGGGAAGACCGTAGCCCCTTTCCACCTTCGTAACTTTCTCTTCCTTTTCTGCGACCCTGTCTATCGTTTTGGGGGTCTGCGATTCTAGGTCGGGTTCGCCCATGGCCGGCCATGGAATTAGGGTTCGATCTTAACCGTTGGTCTGTATAAGCAAATTCTCACGGCGATTCCTAACTTAGGACAAACTTAGAACAGAATTAGAACAAATAAGAGTGGATAGAATACAGAACAAAGTTACTGGGCAGCTGATAGCTATAAATATATATAGATCCGGATTATTTTCCGCTATGTTTCGGCATGCCGTTTGTGTGGCCGAGATAAGGGACACCGCTAGCTGTCGAAGTTCGGAGTACAGCACCGAGTCGGCAGAGCGAACCGACGTCAGATGTGACTCAAACATACAATTTACAGCTGGAACCTAAATATCTCCGTAGCATACGGTATACGTGAGTACAGTTACACCAATTGAACAGGCGGTGGTGAGAATATATATTCAAAAGAATGAACGATTGAGCGATTGGCTAAAGTATGTACGTCTTAAGATTCCCAAAATCACTGGATGAATACACTCCAACGAACAAAAAACCCCCAGGTCTCACTTCACTGTTCTCCTAACATTCTTGAGTTCATATACATGTTACTACTTTACAGCAGGAGCATTCCAGCACCGGCAACAAAGGCAGTCATGATGTAAGCTCCGAACTGCCAGCTGCCAACCTGGACGGCCATCGGGCTCACAGCACCGGCAGCGCTGTCGGAGCTGGAGGTGGAAGAAGAGGTGCTACCAGCGGCAGCACTTCCGGCAGTGGGAGAGGCAGTGACACTGCCAGTACCAGCGGCACCGGCCTGCTTCAACAGCTCAGAGCACTGGCCATTGCTCTTGGAGGCGCTCTGGGTTTTACCTGAACCATTGAAGTCACAGGCTTGGTCTTTGTTGGAGCTCTTCTCGTACCACTGGTTCATGACGAAAGAGAGCTGCTGCTTGGGAGAGCACACACTGTACGCTCCGTACTTGCCCTTGGTGGCGTCCTTGTGGATTCCATCGCACATTCCGTCCTTGGCGCAAATGTAGTTGAACAGGTCCTCATAGTCGTCTTCCTTGACGGAATCCTTAACGGCGCAAGACAAAGACTCAACCATGCAGGAGCACAGGTCCGGGTTAGGAGAAGGAGGGAGCTCACTGGTAGCTTCCCAGTCCTTGCCAACCGTGGGGCAGGATGCCGTAGCTGCAGCCTTGGCAGTGTAGCTGGCGCTGTTGACGCCAGTGGCAGTGGCCTTTTGGATTTGCTTAGAGAGGTTGGAGAAGTCATCGCGAGTCTTGACACTGTCACCATCAACCTTCACCAATCCATAGTCGTTGGCCTCCTGAAAGTACATGTAGACGATACCACCGCTCCAGACGTCGTTCATCTTGTCGCTGTACAGGACAGGGGTGTCGGTGAACTTGCGAGGCTTAGGGTTATTGCATCCATACTCGGAGAAAAATGCCGGGACAGGGAAATCCTTGAATTCCTCAGTGCGCTCCTTGTAACCAGAGGTCTCGAAGGACGAATCGCCGCACCATTCGTAGATGTTGTAACCGAACATGTCGATCATGGCGTCGCTCTCACCGCAAACGAGGTAGTTCTTCAGGTCATCACGGATGCTAGCGTCGTCATCGGTGGCGTAACCGATGAGCAGGGATTCACGATACTTCTTGGCCTTGATGTACTTCTTCATGTCACGCACAGCGGCCTTGACGAACGCGATAGAGTCGGTGTTGTTCTTGTCGTTGGCGACTTCGTTACCGGCAAAGAAACCAATAACATTGGTGTAGTTGGCGAAGGCATCGACAACGCTAGTGTAGCGGGAGTACAAGTCCACATCCCACTTAGGGTCATTACGGATGATTGACTCCGAAGGGGAGGACAGATCGGTGATAAGGTAGATGCCAGCGTCGTCAAGCATCTTCATGCACTCAGTGTGGTCGGCCTTGGGGTCAACGGCATAGGTACGGATGACGTTGGTCCGCAGTTCCTTCAGGTAAGGGATATCACGCTCACACTTCTTGGGGTCGGACAGAGGGTCAGTGTAGTCGCCGTTGGATTCGTTACCGAAGCCGGTGCTGGAGCTGCTGGTGCCATTGGAAGAATATTCCTCTACAGATCAACATTAGTTCCCAATCCGACTGACTTAACCCGAGATTTTCCCGGCATGGAACATACGCTGATAGGCAACACCACGGATGAAGCTAATGGCATGTTAGTTTCGCTATCTCATTTGATCCTTTGAGCGCATTGGAGTTTCCACTTACAATTCAGTGCCGTTGTTGGAATAGAAGAATTTGTTACCCTGCAGCAGAAATTCTCAAGTCAGTGATGGAAGCGACCGCGACAGCCACAGTATTCAAGTACCTTCGTCTCAATGGCAGGCAGGGTCGCCAGGACGCTGCCCACGAGGGAAGCCCCGGCAAGGGCGAATGCGGCCTTCATGATGAGTCTATTGACAGTCGTTCAAACGTATACCAGCCGCAACGACGACAGTTAAAGATCTGCAGTGGAAGACAACGAGGGATCGATCAACTTGATCTGCGGGCCCAGTGATATCAGGTCGAATTAATGGGAAACGAATCGGGGAGTGGATTGAGAAAGTCTAGACGAGGATATATACTACAACGAGTGACTGACGGCTGACACACGAAGCCGTGGAATGGAATTGCGGGAAATAAAATAAAAATCAAAAGAGGTATGTAACGAGGGAAGGAAGTGATAGGGAAGAATAAGGAACAAGAAATAGCAGGAGGCGAGGAGGCGAGAAAGGAAGAATGGACAGGAGAGTGGGAAAGGGGGGGGGCCGAGAAGAGCCTGAGGTTAGTCTGTGTCTGGCCTGTCTTACTTAGAATAGAATCAATCGCCCTGTTTGGCCTGTTTGGTTCCTTGTTTGTTGTAATACACAGGCAACGACGTAATAATAATGATCAGCATCAAAATATTGAGCAAAAACCCACCGCATGAATCATGGCAACTGGTGTCCATCCCATGTCACATCACCCCTGTATCATCTTCATACTTCTGTGACCAAGGCCACAAATTCCAGTGGATCAAAGGGAACAAGTTCAGTAGTACTAGTCATTCATCCACTCTGTTCATGCATGCCTCGAAATGCTAAGAATACTCGGGGCACTCGGATTCGGTACATACTTTTCCTTTGCCCATTGACTAGACCCTTTAACTCCAGGGTAGCCCAACTAGTACAAGTGGGCCCTGAAACTAGCCGCTGGAGACTGACCCTTAATTGGTCACGGTGGTTCTCTGGGCCCTGTATCACCCGTCGTACGCTGTATTACATCCGGTCCCGACCTTGGCTCTGTTTCTTGTTACCTGCCAATAATTGCTTGTGATTCTTGACCGGTGGGGCCGAAATTCCTTGGCCTCTTTTTTGCTGTCTCATGAGGTATCGTGAGGACTTTAGTCAGGCTGGGCGATGATTGCTTGGTGTAACCCAAGACATTGATGAAGCAGTCAAATTCTTATACCAAGTCAATTATATGTGTTGATCCCCTTCCGATGAGGTAATCTCTCTGAAGCCCCAGTCGGTATGGACCGCAGGGGTGAACCAGAACTTGAAGGTACGATACAGTACCTAATTAGGCTGGTAACACGGATAACACCAACAATACATTGTGATTACCAGGAACACACCATTGGACCATGACAGGGTCTTTCTCTCCAATGCCAGTCGAGGGTCGTGACCCTGGAAGGGGTCCACCCAATGAAGCTGAGTGAAACACTGGTGGCGGGAAAATTTTTCACAAAAAATCATTACATCCTTAGTGCAAGGTAAAGATTTTAGATTTGCTTTGTCTGATGTAAATGAAGACCTGACTGAATGTACTGTCTGTAATTGTTAGCTAGAACCTGAATGTCTACCCCATGAATATATGGTTCAGCTACACAGTAGCGCAGTGCCCGAAGAAAAGAGAAGTTTCGGGAAAACACAAAATAAATAATAATTGAAAGAGGGTATAAAAGGATACCTAATGATCCCCCATAACTTTGTGCATACATTCGTGAAGAGTCCAGTACTGGAGTGACGTCAAAAATCACTCACACCTCAGCCCTCTTCGCCTGTTCTGCCGCCATTCAGATGCAAACGGTTGTGTAGATCTTACTAATCTCCCTACGTACTGCGCAGGAGAACAAGGCATGTTTCATCATAAAGTATGTGGACAATCTTGACACCGGCTGCCCTACCCAATCTTCTCATACCTTGCCACAGAGCACAGCATATGCAGTACACCTATGCACATGGTATATACGAATCACCGACAGATATTAGAAGTGCTTGAAGGGCTAGATTACTAATCATATGACTACTGTAACTATACAAAATATCGAATATACACATTGTATGTACAAAGTGGTATATCGCGAAAGCTAAACAATTTTTCATCTTTCTTACTATTTACTATGCCGTCTTCTATGTAAAATCTTAGCAGAGCGCTTCGCGCTCCACTACCATCCCGTACTAAACTCCTCACTATTTCTAGACGGAGATTATATATCACTTTTCGATGAGCATAGCTCCTATTTAACGATTGAATTTCTCACTTTCGTGATGATTTGCAACGCAGGAAAAACTGTCATGAGAGGAGAAAATGAAAAGGAGAAGAAGCCTTCTTTTGAGAGCTTTATATTTTATGTCACCTACTCTGTGAGTCAGAGCTCCAAGTCCTCCGTTCCTCCGTTGAGTCCTAGTTCATCACAATGTGATACCAATCTATACCGTCAGAACTAAATTCGATATGTGCGGCGACTACAGGGGTCATTCAACATTCAATAGTGATAACTGTTTCCAGTTTGGAGGGCGATGAATTCTGCCTTTCCACTATAGCTGAAGGTAGCTGGAGGATTCTTCTTATTGCACTTTTACAGCTCTAAGCTATGCATTCTACGAGGTGAGTTATATTGATCCAATCTTATTCTCTTCCCTTGTTCAACTGGTTCTCTCTCTCATATCTCATAACACCATCCTCCTCTCACCCGCCCCCTCCCCAAAGGTAGACATACCCGATGGTTCGTAGGAAGCTGACACGATCCCTCAACTAATTGGCTCGTAATCAGGGCCAAATGTGCATTTGGTTTTTAGCAATGCCTCTACGTCGCTTACCCCGTCCCGAGGATTTGGCGACAACCATGATAATTTAGCGGCCGAACTAGGCCCTAGAAGAGAATCCTGTCCGAGCCAGGTTGAAGAAAGGATATGCTACTATCAAGCTGGAAGGAGCTACAGCAGCGCTAGAACTATAAGAGTAAAAGCTAGAAACCCTCTTCGTGTCCAGCTATATATGTTGTGTCGCTTATTCCTAAAGGGACCCCAAAAGAAATGGGGTAACGTCAGGTCCTCCGGTCAACTTCTAGTCTTGAGTAGAATACGTAGTACTATAGATAACATTGAAGCAGTGACTGGAGAACACGCAAGCATGGTGGGATTGTTGGGTGGATAGCTGCCGTCCAAGTGGCTTCATATATAACCGCCACAGGGTTACCTAAAAAAGGTCAACGAAAGAAACAGCTTCTTGAAGAGTCACGGTGTTATTCTCAGTCTGACAGTACTAGTCACTTCACCAGCACCGGAATATATCATGACCTGCAGTTATATCGATAATAACCGCTTAGTGGATGAACGGGACGCTAAAAATTCCGTGGCCTATGCTGAGCACTGCAGAAATGAACAAGATTAATCTTCATCGTTATGTCTGGCTTGAGCTTTATGGATACCTTCTACACCTTTTAATCCCATTACAGGGCCTCGATCTCAAGATCGCAGATGTTGAAAGCGGCACGGGGTTTGTTTGATTCAATTTATTTTTCCATCTTCAAGTCTAACTGGATTTCTTTAGCATTGTCCTCACGGACTTTAGCCGCCGCCTCCTGCCATCAGTGCAACTGGACAGCTTCGACATTTCATCCAAAGACGACCATCCGCAAGAATGGTTTATTCCCAACATGAATCTCATTCACTAAAACATCAAAACTGACGTTCCGAAAGACGTGGAGGGCAAGTATGATGTAGTGCATATTCGCCAGTTGATATTCGTGTTGGAATGAGCTCCTGTGTGGAGAAGCCACGACCTGAAGTCAGCACTGAAGCATTGATGAGCGTGTTAAACAACCGGCGCTTGCGATCAACATGGCTGTTTTGCCAAGTCTACTTGATAGATGCGGCTTCAGAGTAGTCTAGACGGATGTGCGCGACGCGCCGGGCTACATGGCTATTGCCATGTAGGAATGTAACCTGATCCTGCACGAGTTTTCATCTGGAAAACGAAGGACAAGGCGGCGGCACAAACGCTGAAAAACTCATGCCACACTGAGAGGGAGAGTCAAGAGGGGGCTTGTCACTCCCTCTCGCGGTGGACGCTAGTGGGAAAGAAGCCAGAGTAGGGGATTGTAAATATGTGCAGGTGCTCAACAAATAAAACTATGTATCTGAAATAGTTTATCTGATTAACAGATGACCAACATAGAATTTGGACATTTTGTACAAGGAGAGTTCGCTCCCTTCAGGGCGGACGAAGCTGTCGTCATTTTTCATTGGGCATAGCAAGAGCTACACTCTATCATCGATTCCGCGACTGTCCCCTTAGGAAGTACTAGTACGGAGTAAGAAAATACCAACGTCAGTAATGGCTGGCGTAATCCGTAGTTGCCCCAAACCATCACCGCCCAACTGTGGCTGATACGTGGCGCAGAAAAAAGAGCGTCACTAGCCACACGCACTGGCCTAGCAAAGTCTCCCGAACCACAAAGAGTTGGGAACAGACAAGTTAGTCGCAGCAGGAAGGATAAGCTTCCGTGACCATGAAATGCACCAGAATGGGTCAGGGGTTGAAAGCTTTAAACTGTTGATCTTTGAGAAGCTAATTCGTACCAACCAACATGATCAATTTTCCATACTCAGTGTATTGCCCAGGTATGGAAATTCTTCATCCCTTTCCACACAGTACCATATGGCAGTAGTTTGGTTGCATTTCGGTGAGACTGGAGGTCCCTTAGGTTTAATGATTACAGCACACAAAACTTTGTGATCCAAGAAATTTGGGTTCTGAATCGCGCAGCCACTAACCAAGTCTTATACTAGTTCAACTTGAAATGGAGACAACCATCACTCTTGGCGTTCTCCCCCGTGTCAGTCTGCATTCTCCCTTGCGAGGGATCACACCAGCGCAATTGGTGGTCATCAGGTTGGCGAACGAATGACATGTTCGGATCGCTCTTCAGAAAGCACGTCTGCCCAACCATTGGCACAACAGCCCCAGAATTCCCACCAAAGAGTGCAGGACACGCGCCAGATTAGAGGACGATCTACCATGACTACCGAAAATGCGCACCCCCAGTGTGGCTGTGTACAGATGAGTTATTGCTTGTCTGGGACAATATACGTCGGCCCTCATAGTTTTTACTCTAGCTTTGTTAAATTCCCCTTAATTTTGTTTTTTCTTATTTTTCTTGTTGTCTTGGCTCTCTGTCACAATTTTTCTTGTTTTCTTTTCACCCTTTTTTTTGTGATGTGTTGCTCTCGTTGACATTCTTTTGAAGCTATTGTTGGAGTTCTCAAAGAGAAACCCCCTTGATTATCGTTCAATCATTTTAATTGAGACTCTTTATTTCTTTTTAATTTTTTTATGTCCCCCACCGTTCTTTAGCAGTCGATTCGCTCCTTTTTTTTTTTTTTTCCCATCGACAAGACCAAAACCACGATCGCTGTTCTGCCGAGAAGGCTTGTCGTACTCAAGAAGTCTTGTCCTGGTCTTGGATTTCTTGGTGGCCACAACTGAGGCTGAGCTTCTTCAGACCCATAACTCAAGCCACACCGGGCCCCTCTATATGATATCGTCGCTCAGGCAAGCATCACATTAGTACGTTTTCTCGTAATGCTGCCTATTAATGCTTAGCGTTGATGGTGTTCTGGCTGCGACGGTTGTGCAACTGTGCCTCAACATATGGCGCCCCCGTCACCACGCGGCTCGATGGCCTATAATTAGTATACTCACGAATTATCATTCTAACCTTTATAACAGTATATAAGTATTAACTATCTTCCCACGATAATAAGCGGGCAAGGAATTCATACGAACAATGCGTATGTCTTGTCACTCCCTCACTCTGGGTTCCTGATCATGATTAACATGGCTTTGGAATACAGATAAATATCGACGTCAAGCCAGAAACCTGGCATGGTATGACCAGGATGGAGAGGCATCAACTCACAACCCGTTCAAGAAATTTCGACGTCAACGGCCGCGCCGAACGGATTCTATCCAGCTCGAGAGCAAACTTACTCCTATCCGCACTGCAGGGGATGTGCGCCTCGACGAGGAGCGTCGCCGGCGGAAGGATATGACAGAAGGCTTGGTAGGCCCAGAGCATGCAGATAGTTTCCCACCAGAGTCCTCTGGGACCGATCAGGTTACTCCCGATAGAGCGGGACGTGAGCCGTCAATGCACAGCAATGAACCCATCAACATCTCAGCCCAAACTGGGCTGGATGAAGATCAGATGGGAGGGCCTCGAAAGAGGAGGACCTTCGCGAGCGGATTTGGGGATAGATCCCTAAATGGGGACATCGAATCGAACTCGGCAAACGATGCCAACGAGAAGCCGAAGTTTACGGCCATGGGACAGTTGAAAGCGACTCTGTTCAATTCCTGGGTCAACATCCTTCTGCTTGCTGCTCCAGCTGGAAGTAAGTGTAGATGTCTCTGACAACCAAGATCACCGCTGACTATAGTCGAGTTGCATTGAATTATGTCGATGTTGATCCAGTTGCTGTGTTCGTGGTGAACTTCATTGCTATTATGTGTGTATCCCGCCATCTCGAAACGGACCTCACATTACGGAACTAACACAGGGCAGTCCTCTCGCAGCTATGTTGGGTTACGCGACAGAAGAAATTGCCATGCGGTATGATATACGAACTCTTTGAAGTAGACGATAGCTAATGACTCTAGCACTGGCGAAACAATCGGTGGCCTACTCAACGCAAGTTTTGGGTATGTCATTAACTAAATTCCTGCTACTTCTCCTTCTAATCTTGACTAACAAAACAATAGTAATGCCGTTGAACTAATTGTGGCTATCATTGCGCTGGTCGACGATGAAGTCACGATCGTACAGACTTCCCTAATTGGAAGTATGCTCTCGAACCTTCTCCTCGTTATGGGGATGTGTTTCTTTTTTGGAGGTGTCAACCGCTTGGAGCAGCATTTCAACCCGGTCGTTGCCCAAACAGCAGCCAGTCTTCTAGCGTTGGCAGTGGGATGCTTGATTATTCCCACTGCCTTCCACACCTGGTCAGGTGGTAAGTCAGCGAGCAGCCCGGTGGTATATTAAATGCTAATTCGACTCTAGCGGGCAACAGTGGTGTCGCAGAGCTCTCACGAGGTAAGTTACGTTGGTAGGCAGTTCATGTATCGTTTTCTCATAAAATTGCAGGAACCAGCATTATTATGCTGGTCGTGTACGGATGCTATCTGTTCTTCCAGTTGGGGTCGCACACGGAGATGTACAACAGTCCGAGTCCCAAAGTTGAGAAGAGACGTGTTAAAGTGAACGAGGGTGACACCCATCGGGGAATTGCACAGATAGGCAAAATGACTGCCACCCTGGCGGGACAGAACGCACAGCAATTGAAACTGCAAGACCCGGACGAGGAAGAGGAAGAACCTCAGCTAAGCATTTGGGTGGCTGTGCTAACCCTGGCTATCTCGACGGCCCTGGTCGCGCTTTGCGCTGAGTACATGGTATGGTATACCCATAGAAGCCATCGATCACGCCAAGCTGACTGTCCAGGTTGATTCTATTAATGCGATTACGGACCGTGGCGGTGTCTCCAAGACCTTTGTTGGACTGATTCTCCTCCCAATTGTAGGCAACGCGGCCGAACATGCCACGGCCGTGACGGTGGCATGCAAGGACAAGATGGACTTGGCAATTGGCGTGGCCGTAGGGTCCAGCATGCAAATCGCGTTGTTGGTGCTTCCGTTGATCATTGTGATTGGATGGGGCATGGGTAAGTGAACTTCGATTCTGTTCTGTGAAGCTGTACCTTGCTAACTGCGTGTCTAGGCAACAATGACATGGTACGCTACGTCGACGCATTCTGACAATAGCCAGTTACTGACTCTAGTAGACTTTGTACTTCGACGCCTTCCAAGTGATTCTGCTATTTGTTGCCGTCCTGCTGGTACGTCAACAGCCTTCTTAACCACTAATACAACGTTACTAAATAGAGCCAGGTAAACTATCTCATTGCCGACGGTAAATCCCATTGGCTCGAGGGCGTCCTCCTGATGATGATGTACTTGATCATAGCCGTGGCAGCTTGGTAGGTACCCACGCTCACAACCGAACGATACACGGCTAACCACGAGCAGGTTCTATCCCACCAAGACTGATGAACAGATGAAAGCATGATACGAAGACATTCGAAGACTTCTGATATTGCCATCCAATATATGATGATACTACTAATTTGAATTGACCCGACGTTGATTATGTTTCTGCCATACGCTGTTGAATCACTACAGAATGCTATACGATAGTGGATACCTCCTAACTCCCACCCGTTCATAAGACTCTAAACCTACAGAGTAACATCCGAGAATACCCATCACACCACGCACACACAGACCCCCTCCACCTGCCCAGCAGCTTCCTGAACATCTCTTCTCACCTCTCCAAAGACACGGTAAGGTAGCACTTCGTATACTCCGTACAAGAAAACGAAACCCACACGCGCCAATTTATTACCAAATACCTCGGCAGCAACTGCCTATAATACCAATCTATCAACACGTGCTGCCTACCCCACAAAACACTAAATCTGCATTTCTCCAACTGTTGCCCAGAAGAGTTACAGAGCTAAAAAAGCAATCCGCATCGGAAAAATCCCCCCCCCCCCTCTTCGGTCGCCTCCTACGTTTCCGCTCTCACACATGGGGGCCGTTGGGTTTAGCGCTTACGAAGAAGCTCCGTTCCGCCGTTCACTTATCGGTATTCGCCGGGGCAAACCTCGTTCCCCGGATTCTGATAGTGTCGGGTAAACATTCTGGACTCGGACGGGAGTGTCTATCTTTAGGTAATGGAAAACACCCCAGATAAATGAAGATCGGTGCTCGATCATGTTTCCATGGTTGTAATTGGCGGTTTATGATTGGGCTTGTCTGATGGAGGGAATCTCATCTATTTCGCATATGTAGGTATACGGAGTACGGAGTACAGGGAGAGTAAGAAGGTTTACGGTCTCGGGACGATGAGTAGGGTTGGCTAAGCGGAATGGGCGCAGCACTAGCAATCTACGAGCGAGACGCATTCGTATAGCTCGCTATCTGGGGGAAGGAATCGCCCTGTAGCAGCCTGATCTCTTGGCCGTTTTCTCATTAGGCGAGAGAGAATATTATACTTGGACTAGGATCCCGGATCTCGGGGGTTAAGCCGAGGATGAAATCGGCAGAAAGGATCCAATTGCATTGGAAGCGTTTGCCGAGCTACATCGCAGTTTCAGGCCGTGACAGCGCGTAGGGAGAAGACTCAAGAGTCGATAACCGGACTACGTGGACGAGTTACATCGAGTGCTGGACTTGGCTTCATTTCTTCCTCGTGAACCATGCTCGATTCTGGCTCTTCCTATGGACGACTTGGCCTCCAGCAAAGCGGGTTACTTGGTAATTGCAACTTCCACGTGATTGATAGACCCTCGACATGGGGGGGAGGAATGATTGCCCCGAATCTGTATGTACGTCTAGCACTGGTTCGCAATAACTAACGCCACTGCGCTCGGTTGGACAAAGGACAGGGTCGCTGCGAATGGCTGCTGTTCAGGGGACCCATGGACGTCTTGTACCTGTGGCGCCAATAAATAAAACGAATTAGCTTTGGGGCTGAAGTGACAGGGCCTCCCTCGGTCAGGACCATCAAGAGTCCACGTTGTCCATTAGAGTCGGCGAGCTCCTGTCCCGGGTCGGGGAATGTCAAGGGCCCGTGAAGACTCGCAACGACCTGCAAGCAGGTCAAGGTCCGGCGCTACACCGTCTGACGGGGGGTTTTGTTTTTTTGTCTTTGTGTGTTTGAGAATAAAGGCTACACGGCCGGATTGCACACGAAGAAGTAGACACATGGCATGGCACACAAAGAAAGCACAAAGCGTGCCTTCCCGTCGGGGCGTACTTTTGCATTGAAAGAGTCGTTCAAAGACTCGAGCACCGCCGTTTATGATAGTGGATGTTACTGATGTAGCGCACCCAGGGTGGCGCCACGGCGCCACGGAACGATTGGTCTCATGGTAATTTTATTAAATATGATCGTGGATAGAGCACTATGGAGTTGAGTGCTCCGTAGAAATGGAGTAAGCCCTAGCTATCTAGAGCACGGAACACTCTGTCTGCGATCCGATGGGAAGCGCATTGGGAGATAGCGCTCACCGATATTTAGCCAGTTCGCCGGGAAATTGAACACTGAGGGAGAAATAATCCCCCCCCCCCCCCGCCAAAGTGTTGTATGCACGGAGAATCCATCCAATGAAGGCTCGGGGTAAAGTGCAGCGAGGCACTGGATAAAATAAGACGCTGTGCTCCGTCCCAAGAGGTTCGGCTGGTTCAAAGGGACTAACTACGTACTGACAGGACCCCAGACTCGGGAAATTTTCTTAGTTCCGTTAGTGAGTACGATACCAATGTTTAAAAACCTAGATTGATCCCAGGTAGGCAAATAGACCTCTGTTTCGGAAAATCTTCTTTTTGATTCGATCCAGACGGCCCTGGGCTAGGCCGAGGACAGATGGATACACGAGGCGTGGCGGCCAGTCGCGACAAATGAAAACCGGCCATATACGGGGCTATTCTTAAGCTGTGCGGCCACTGGCCGAGTCCAGACGGAGCACATCAAAGGATGGGGCCGACCATGCCGTTCCCAGGGCGAGGGAGTGGGGATCTCGCGTGGGAGTATGGATCCTGGTCGTTACGCTTGCTTTTATGGTCGATTATTTCATTGCTTCCATGTTTGAATCACGGGGTTGGTTTCGGGAAACCTTAGTCTCGGAGTAATAATGAAGGGTGAGGTTAGTCAACAAGTTGGGGGTACAACCTCACCCGTGTGTCCTGTACTTCGTAGGTAGTAGTATATGCACCTGCGACATACTACGGTAGTACGAACAAACTAGCATCGGAGGTACAGCTTGGCATCCAATCTCCTTATTGTGACTGACACCGTGTCATCGCACTTCTTATCATGGAGAAGAAGCCAATTCGGACGATGTACTAGGTATAGGTCCCGGTCGATTTACACAAGTACTTTGTACCTAGTTACATCTCCAGATGATACAGTTTGAGTAAGGCTTCAAAGTCTGCAGAGCACCTGACACGGAAGAACTTGGCTTGCGGGTAGTATTTCCTTATATAGCAGGTAGGGAATAATACTCCCTTCAATAAGGTGCTATCCTTTTTTTTTTTTTTTTTTTTTTTTTTTTTTTTTTTTTTTTTTTTTTTTTTTTTTTTTTTTTTTTTTTTTTTTTTTAGGGCATCCCGTACCACCTTTTCACCTTTTTTCCTCCATTGACGTCGGATTTCCTCCGGGGATCCCCGATTATCCCACGGCCCAGCTAATATTACTTAAACGAATCATAACCTAATTATGAACGAAGAATCAACAAAGTGGCCATTTGCGGGGATCGGTTCGCTTGTCTAGCCTCGGGTGGTAACTGGAGACCAATCATGAGTGGCGGCTGGGGCCGAGCAGCGACACGGGACCGGTTAAAATGGAACTGCACAGAGAGCGGGGAGTTGCCGGTCTGGGAATTCCGATGCTGGTCGGGTCGGGTTCGATTCATTCCCAGAGCGTGGGGTCATACTGTACGACTCCCGTGGGCAAACAAAGATCTCATTCATTACTTGAAGATACTCCGTACGGATCAATCCACACGAAACTAAAATGAACAACAAGCAAAAAGAAATAAGGGGGGTTATGAGTTGTACAGGTGATTCTATATCGTATGAGATTTGGGATCAACGTCGTACACATGACCTAACACATGATAGAATATAACATGATCTTCTCTGTATGGACAAACTCTCATGTGCAGACAGCGTTTCCCGTGTCGATCGGGATTCAATCCCTGTGAGTGCCAGCCAATCTCCGTTGGTGTAGTCCCTGGTCCTCAAATCAGTATCGAGACAAGGATGAGCAATCCATTAGGATCTCGCTTCTCTCCCCGCGGGGAGGCCCCAATGCAGGAAGGGCCTTAAAATAAAAAAAAATAAAATAAAATAAAATAAAAAAAAAAGAGGTCAGCCTTGGGTGGCTGAAGTTACAGCTGAACCCATACCCGACGGACGAAAATAAAATCCCATCAACATGAGTCGATACCCGAGGTTCGTTAGTTGAGGAGTGTGATTCATTTGCCGTTTCCCCTCATTTTGCAATTTTTGGATCTTATTTTTAGAGTTTGGAGAAAGGATGCAGCAGCTGGGGTACTGTCAAGCTTGGGATCCGTGTGAACTTATAGGGTTCAACTTGAGCTTGTGTTCGAGCTCCCAGTCAGACATCAGTGGATGGCATGATGTTTCTGGCTGTGTCTTCTTCTCAACCCCGGATAATAGCCGATCGGAATTATAGATGCGACCAATCTATGGGGAAGTTGACGAAGGGGGAAAGAATTAACAAAATAGGAGCGATGACAGATCTGGATAAATGTTATGATTGACATTTATTTCAGCAATGTATGTGTGGATGTGCGTTGCCCCAAGAACTGGATAACCGTTTTGCCTTTTTGGACGACAATAAGCCGGGGAAGGGAAAAATGGTTATGTAATAGCTTGAATGCTGGAGCAGTAAATTTGCGGTGTCAAGTGATGTTCCACACGGCTGCTGGTAACCGGCTTCTTCGGTCGGTCGGTAGGGAAATGAAATTGGAATCCATTGAGGGAGCACCTGCCAAATTTTTAATGTACAAGCCCAGGCTCAGATCCAGTATACTCCGTAGATTCTTGCATGATTTGTGATATCTTCAATGCACTGCACAGATAACTCGACAACTAGGCTTAGTGCATTTTAAGTAATCGTGAAGGTGGATGTCAGGCAGTAGTCACTGTAAGAGTTTCCTATCGATCGGGTCGGGTCTACTGGCCGCCAACTGGTAGTTCCCGAAGGACTTGGTATTATTACGAGCCATGACAAGAAGACGGCAGCGTCTCCGGACGGAACCCCAGTAAAATTATGGTAATTTACCCGACTCTCGGCCACTCTTTTTTCTTTCCTTTTGCCTCCCCACGCTGCTTGCTGTGGTCTCCTGTCTTGTCTATGTTGGGCATGTTTTGTCCTGTTGGACATGGAAATTGTCCCTGGATTGGATAACTCACATCAGGATTATGGTATGATTTGAATGTTGAGTTATACCCTTCAAAAAATATTTACTCTTACTCGCAACTCGTTTCTCAGCATCTATGATCACATTCATCGGCTCTCGGAAACTGGGGCTCCACCTCCCACTCTCCGGCGGCTCGGTCGCGTCCTTGCATCGAGTTGCTGCTCACCAACGACACTAGACCCACTGGGGACTAACGCTGGCCGGGCCTCCGCAATTCCTGCCCCAGTGGATGTGCCTGAGATTCCTCTTAGTCTTATGCCTAGTTAGTATGCTCGTCCGCCGGAAGGAGAACAAGAGAGAGAGCGAACAACGAGAGGAACCATTCTTATTCCTCGTCTTCCCTCCGTCTCCCCCTTTGACTACTCTTTTTTCTTTTTTTATTCTTTCCCTCTTTCCCTCCCTTAGCTCCTCCCCCACACTACCTTACCTAGTACCCGACGGACGGGTGTTAGGACTTTCCCCATTTCCTCAGTCATTTCGCCTTGCCGGACCGGTGCCCCGACCCTGGGCTTGAGAGTTTCCCCCACACTCCGCTTATTCCCGCTTTTCTCTCGTCTCGCCGTGTGTGCGTGGGAGAGAGACTTTCTGGCGGTGGATTTACTGTGCTTTTTTGCCTGCTCCGTCACTTAAACTCCACATACCTTTGCGGGC